TATTTTCGGATATATTTTAAAATAAATTTTGATTACACCATAAATTTTGTTTTGACGTTGTCATTTTTTTTCAAAAACACTCCATTTTGCTATTAAATGTTCATAGTTGGAATATCGATCGACTCCATCGATATCTCCTATCTATATAGCTTGTTAAACGAAATTGGCTAATATGACCGAAATTTGCTTAATAGGATTTTATGGTCTAGATCCGTAAATGGTCTGATGAGTTTGGTCGCAAATTGAAAGTAGAAGTACGAGTAACTCATTTTATTTCTAGGAAAACTACAAATATTCCATATACATCATGATTTCAATTATTTAAATACATTTTTATCACTTCTAAAATATGACAAATACTTGGATATAGCACTTTTTCTGTCTGAATTAGATTTGATATCAATGAATAATTTGTTACTTAAGATATATATCTTGAATTCGATTGTGTGATACTATATTTGATGCTTGGGCGCTGTATGATAACATGCATGCATCATATAAGCGATAGTTATGATTAAAATCTACTTTTTTACCTATTGTTCATTTCTCTATGAATTTCACTTTATATAAGAATTATTAGTTTTAGTAGATTAATATATTTTCTTATATAAAACTTTCTTAGATTTACGCGAATATTTGACATTTTAAATAAAACTATCTTTTCGGATTTTTTCGCGAATTTTTCATTTTGTTATTTGTGGGTAGGCTGTCTGTAACAACTATATAATACCTTTGAGACATCTAACACCTCAGTCTCTCCCGTGACCATGATTGCTGTAAAGCATTCGAAACGTCGGGAACCAAAAATCTAAAATAAATTCGCGAAAATACCCGAAAAGATAGTTTTATTTAAAATATTTTCTTATAATAAGATTTTGTCTTAAAAAGAAGAATGAAGTCGCTTTAAAATAATTTATACCTACGTTATTATCTATTTCAAAAAGAGTCATGACCTACCTTAAATATGCACCTTGTTATCTTCCACTTGCAACAGTTATCTTAAGGCATAATCTAAATGTGTTCATAAGTCTTTTATTGTATACGATACCTACTTACATATATTTAATGGTAACCAACATACAGTATGGTATACGGCAGGTATATGATTTGCCCTAGGATCGTCTTGAACATGCAAAACACCAAGCAAAATTGTACAAGGAGCGGAAGAGTATCGAGTTCTTATTTCTGAGTTAATGAAATTATTTTTATATGTTTTTTTTTCACAATTTAAATTTTAGTTTTTTTTTATTATATCTTTTTATAACCCGACGGAATTCCCTCGTCTGTATGGGGCTTCGCAGGATCACTTACGCACTCAACCACGTCGCTTCAATGGCAGGCTTGAGGCAGATCAAGACAAAAGAAGTACCAGGAGCAATGCACAGACCACATGGTACACCATCAACCGAAGTGGACCACCTCCCCATGTGTCTTGTAACTTGTAAGCACCTGTCATAATGTGAAATCATTATAAATTTTAATTATTATTCTAATAATATTTATTCTATTATTCTAAAAATAGTATTTCTAAGTATAGAAATATAATAAAGTATAATCTTATTATTGTTAATGTATTGACATTAAGGTGATCACGTGCACCTTGCATGGTCGGTGAGTTACCGAGTAGTAGCTGAGTGATAACCCAAGATAAGTTATTATTGATGTGAAATTGGAAATTTTTATTTACTATCAAGTAGATGATATTGTTCTATTACGAGTGACCCGCCCTCTTTACACAGTTGAAGCCCACGCCTATGTTATATAACTGTACTTTACAACTTATGTACTTAATACAAACAAAAAATCTCATTTTAGTACATATAGCGACTCATCCTCGTATCGCTTGGGTTCGTCCCTGGGTTGATTCCTCACAAAAACTTTCATCCCCATTTTCTCCCCCTTAAGGGATGATTTCCGGGATAAAAACTATCCTATGTCCTACCCAGGGTCTCAAACTACCTTCTTACCAAACATTAGTGTAGAACAATCACAAAGTGGTTAGATTTTAAGTTGCACTCATGAAGTAGGGTTATAAGAAAAGGTTTTGTTTCGTTGGTAATCAAGAAAAGGCTATAATAATACATATGTGTATTGTAGTAAATATATTTTATGTGTCGAAAAAAGATAATCCCAGATTAGAGAAATTTATCTTTTAGTAAATAAATAGATATATAAGTTATATATCAATTAAAGGTTAGGACGATTAGGTTGTTAAGTGTTGGATGAATTAATTCATACAATTGAAGAAAAAAATTGCGACGTTTTCAGAGCATTTAATAGAGATGCTAAGAAAATAGCAATTTTAAAATTAAAATGCTGATGTTTGAGGGATTTTCTGTGCAAGTTCAATCGGCAATTATATTACTTAAACACTCGTGGAAACTTTTGTTTATAATATGAATAGTTTAAAATCATAACATGTTATTGCTGAAAAAAAATATAAAACAGTGACTAATATTGCCCGATTTCACCAACGTCACCTAAGTTTAAGGGATCCCCTAAGCATGGTTAGGGGGCTGTTAGGGGACAGTTTTTGTGTCACCGACAGTTAGGGGTCACTTAAATGTTAAAAGGCCCCCTAAATTTGGGTTCTCGAAATATGGGTTTAAACACGATGGTAAAACGAAATTTAATTTAGGGGCTAGTTTAGGGGAATTTTAAGCTAGGGATCCCATACGTAGGTGGTAGGTAGGTTATGGGTTGTTGGTGAAATCGGGCATAAGTCTGTCAACCACTATACCTATTCTTAAGACGATTTCCGAAACGAATAGAAATTGATCCTGATTCTCTAATATGGTAATAAATGGTACTAATACTCTGTATAAGCTTCTTTCTTTTATTTTTTTTTCTTTAATTAACAAATTTTATTCTACTATTTGCATAAATATTAGATTTTTTAAATAAAACTATCTTTTCGGATTTTTTCGCGGATTTATTTTGATTTTTGGTTCTCGACGTTTCGAATGCTTTACAGAAATCATGGTCACGGGAGAGACTAAGGTTTTAGATGTTTCGAAGGTCATTATATAGTATATACTGGTTACAGACAGTACCTATTCATAATTTCACAAAATAATTTCAAAAAATTTAAAAATGGCACTGAAGTTCCGCTTTCCACAGCGAAATAATTCGAAAAGATAGTTTTATTTAAAATTTTAAATATTCGTGTAAATGTAAGAAAGTATCAAATATTTGATTTTTTAATAAGTTGTTTAACTACATATATTTTCATTTTTTTTTTTGCTCAATCATAGTTTCTGTGATCATATTTGATATAAAACGTTCGAAACGTCGCAACCAAAAAATCTAAACAAAATAGCCAAAAAAATCAGAAAAAACACTTAATAATAAGAAGCTCTCCTTAATAGGAGGGGTCTAGGGAATTATGAATTTTAAACGTGGTTTTTAGAAAATACTAAAAATAAATAGATAGTTATATGAGATGGATATATATGTTATATATATGTATTTCGGGTTAGCAAATATATTACGTATGTTTAATATGTAATATCTCACGTATTATATCTTATCGAATAATTTCGACAGGTTGCGAAATTGTGGTCGATATTTTGCTATGTTGACTGTTATCATAGATGCGTAAAGTTGTATGTGGGTGTATGTTTATTACTTCTTCATGTTAAAGTTTAAAGCAGTTAAACAGATTAGGATGAAATTTAACACACAAATAAATTATGACCTGGAGTTATATATAGAGTAGCTACTGTAAGGTCCCTAGAGATGCATACGAGCGAAGCTATATAGGGTTAAGTGATAAGTCCCTGGGAAAAAATATGAACGTGTCCGTCTGTTATTTCGAAATAGCTAACTCAAATTGATTCTTTGGGACAAAACTGTTAGAAAAAATATGATTGAAATGAGATGGGTGAATGGATGAATAAGTAGTACTAGACATGATATACTGCACCGTGAATGATTTATTTATGAAACCCCACCTCTTTATCTTGTAGGAGTCTTTATTATATCCAGAGATAAAAGTATTCTATGTTACTTATTCAAAGATTCGCTCCGCTATTCGTTAAAACGAGCCCCAAGAAAAGATAATTCTCAATCTAACAGCTGCTTAGGTTCTGTTATCATGAAAATAAATAATAATTATTAATTTAAATATGAGGTAGCTAATTTTAAATCATAGATAGATATTTCAATTTTATTATAGTGACTTACTCTCGCTTCGCCCAGATGCGTCCCTAGGTCTAGGCATAACCGTAACATAGGTTACGGTTAGGCCTAGACCTTGAGTCCCTAACTCCAGGTTATATATATTCTATCCAAATATAGCCCAAAGTAACAAAGATACAAACATACATACTTTCACAATTATATTAGTAGTCCGATATATTATATGTGTAGGTAAGTCTGGATTATTGCATTTTCTAAAATATTGAAATTTGAAATCCTTTTAGTGTAATGTTAGAACATTTAAAAATAGTGCATTAATTCATTGGAATTTCAATTCTTATAATAAAGGATTCGACAACACGTTTACCTTAGTTTGTAGTGTCACTTGCTGTGCCAGCGGTCGCGGGTTTGAGTCTCGCTGGGAGCATTCATTTGTGTGATGAGCACGAATGTTTGTACTCCAGTCATGGGTGTTTATAGTTATAATATCTATCTATTTAAAGTTATATATGTGTAGTGTATCAACTATCTGGTATCCATAACACAAGCCTCGTAGCTTACCATGGAACTAGATGGTGCTGTGTGCTAATGTCCCAACATATTTATTTTTTATTTATTATTAAAGACATATTACGTATATACATATATTACTTTGTTATTGTTGATATGAGATAAATCACGTACACCATATAGGCGTAGTCGAGGGCGATAGCTGGTTTGGTGCAGTTCATTTTACTTCGGAGTTCGGTGTATGAATAAGGACATTCGTGGTGAGACCACGGAACGTGTCAGTCGTTGCTGGCGAAGTATTATAAATATTGTACATTATTGATGTTTTAAGTTGTTTTTGTGCGTGCAAAATGGGTATTTCGATTTTTGTGCTGTGCTCCCTGTGCTTTTGCTCAGTATTTGGATATGTGAGTATTGTTTTTTTTAATTTGTTTTATTGTTTTTTATTTATTGTTTGTTTATTGTTTGAATTATTTTATAAACATATATATTATAATAAAATATTATATTTAAGTTTGAAATTAAAAAAAATCTTTATGAGTATCTTATTTTAGTAATTTTTATTATAAAAATTAATACATTGTAAACACTTTTTCAATATCTAATTACTAAATATCGTAAGTTTAGCTTATTATGTATTAATAGCAAAGAAACGTCGGTAACCAAAAATCTAAATAAATTCACGAAAAAAACCTAAAAGATATTTAAAATGACGGTAGATTCAAATAATTTATATATTTTCATATAATTGATTCTTTATTATTTTTTAATTTATTTATAACTTTATATTTTTATAACTTTATATTTCTTTAATTTTTAAAATAATTTTTATATTAAGAACAAGTATAAAATAAAAACTAAAAACATTAATAAAATCTGTTAAAAGTTAACTTGCCTGCTAAAAATCAAATCCTATCCCATAAATATTATGTATAAATGCGAAAGTTTGGATGTTTGGATGTTTGTTAATCAAGCCAGAACGGCTGAACGGATCCGGATGAAAGACACAGAGATAGATTATAGTCTGAAATACTGTAACATATAGGTTTCTTTTAATCCCGGAAAAATGTACGGTTTCCATGGGATAGATTTGTTTTTGTAATAAATATATATATATATATATATATATATATATATATATATATATATATATATATATATATATATATATATATATATATCTTTAATATGGATTATATATTAAACATTTAATAATTTAATAAACATAATGTACCTAATGATTGATTAAGAGTATAAGTATTAAGTATACAAAAAAATGCTAAACATCAATAAGAAAAAATATTCCCAAACTATTTATATTTTGTACAGCAATAAAGAGTAGATATATTGAATTTCATGCACATTCGCCTCCTTGACTATAATATATGTACAGACGTAGGTAATATTAAAGTCAGCACTTGTGTATGTTTGTTACTACTTCACGCCAAATCGGCTGGACAGATTTGGATAAAATTTTGTACACAGAATATGATCTGAAGTAATAAATAGGCTGCTGTCAGTAATAAAATATGCCAAAAGATGGCGCTGACTGTATATAGGCAAGGATAAGTGTGGACTGTAGACCTAGATACACTACCTTTCACGTAAACGCCAGGCTAGCCGATACGTGCTTAACTCACGTACACACATCACTAATTTATCTTTAATAAAGGATAAGGAATGTTATTTATGTTTTTATATGACATAAGAAAACTATAAATAGAATTCTATAGACTTCAAATGTAACCACTTAACTGCCTTTTTTATAAATAATTATATTGCTGTGAATATTTATTATTCATGATTCTTGATTCGACGACACGTTTGGCTCAGTTTGTAGTGACCCTGTGTACTCGTTGTACCAGCGGTCGCGGGTTCGAGTCCCGCTGGGGGCATTCATTTTTGTGATGAGCACGAATGTTTGTACTCCAGTCATGAGTGTGTTAATATCCCAACATATTTATTATTATTATTTCATGATTTTATATATATGTATATATTTTTTTTAATATAAGGTATGCTTTCGCCGGCAGATCTGCACGCGTATTTTCATTTTTTCGGAGACAACTTTGATTCAATTCAATTCTCTTTTTAATTTTCTTTAAAGAAAGCTAGATCCAGAGATTAGGCCCTACACGTCCCTACGTCACAAACTCACAAACCCACAAACTCACAAACTTTACCTCTTTATAATATTAGTATAGATTGTCATAGTGTCATACAAGAAAAAAATATTGCAATACAACAATGTATTTTTTCATTTTTTTTTATTTTTTATTTAAAATATATAAGCTAATAGATATTAAGTATAGAATATTCCGCTGACTGCATTTTATATCGGCGACCGGTATTATGACATTGAACTAAATAGTTAGATAACTCTTGTTATTTACTTTAAATTTTCTTATAATGTAAAATTTACATCTATACTAATATTATAAATGCGAAAGTAACTCTATATGTCTGTGTGTCTGTCTGTTACGTATACATGCCTAAAATGCTGAATAAGTTTTGATGTATTTTGGTATAGAGACGAATGGGACTTTGAAGAAGGACATAGGCTACTTTTTGTCGCAAAAATGAAACTTTTAGGGGGTGAAATAGGAGTTGAAAATTTGTATTGGGAACAAATCATTTATCAAGTATAGGACATAAAATTTAGTTATATCCGATAATTTTGGTAAGAAATAAAGACAGTTTCGGTGTTTTTGATCCATGAAGATAAAATAGGGATTGATCTAAAGTTTTTTTTAAAGTAGGTACTTGCCTACTTTTCTATATACATATTACATGTGTATGTACGTATGTATATATAACCTACTAGCATTGCCCGCGGCTCCGCCCGCGTTCAGATGACCAAAAACCAAATTCTTAGGTTTTACATATTAGTGTACTCTTACAATGCAGTTTTTGTATTTTTTCTCAGAAATGAGATATTTTCCCGCGGTAAAAAGTATCCTATATGTTGACCCCGATAACCAGCTATCGTCATACTAAATTTCATTAAAATCTGTCCAGTGGTTTTCTCGTGATGCGGTAACAGACAGACAGACAAAAATTCTAAAAACTATAGATTCGGACGCTGTATCGATAATAATGTCTATTTCAATTAGATTTTCCAAAAAATATTTAATGTACAGATTCAACTTAGAATTTTATTATATGTATATAGATTATAATATACTATCTGTTAAAACGTACGTACAAGCGAAGTGAGGTGTGAAGTGACTACTAATAATTTGTAGTCTAAAATCTAAAAGCCTCTTCACACTAATAAAAACGTGTGTTTTTATGCATTATTTTAGGACATTTTTTTACAATGTATACGTGACTTTGCATCACGTAGACTTTTCTAGAGGGTTTCGGGCACCCTCATGTTAGAGTGAGATAGCATATTATATTATCTATTAGCTAAAATGAGATAGACAATATCATGCCTTTGGCGCATGTTCTGCATTTCTGTTTTAGGATTCCGTGAGGGATTATTATATATATTTTTTATTTTTTGTATGGCACATGTAAAGTCAGGATAAATTTTAGATTATGAGTTATTTTTTTTATATATTTTACTATATCTCTTAATAAAAATCTTTCTGTTTGTGTTTTACCTTAAGTAACGTACCAGAGAATGATATGAATATACTTTATATCAGGAGTAGGATAATTATAAGGTTTATTTTTTAATAATATTTAAAATAAAATTTTTTTTTTATTATTTTACATTTTATTTAACATATAATATAATATTTCATTATATATTATTCAGTTTTATTTTTATTATTTTTCACTATCTGTGTAATGTATTCTATATTATTCTCTCGCTATTAATCCTATATATTTATATGTTTGTCTTTTTGTCGTGACGCATTTTCGTTTCATCGAGTTTCAAATCACAACGATGCTAAAGAAGTTTCACTTTCTACAAATCTATTATTAAAGGTTTGAATGAGTATGACTAAACTAAAAAGTCAACAATTAAGTTTTGCTGTCACACGGTTTCCAACCACTGCCCCCCCTTCCCCTTCGTGTCTTCCCCATTCTACGTGACATTGGTGAAGTAATCTAAGCTCAACTGGCACGCTTTGAAACCACCAACAAGAGAATTGAATTGAACTTACGATTTGTCTAAGAACTGACAAATTACTTATTACGTTAACTGTTAGTATGGAATAGATAGACTATAGTCTACATATTATATGACATATAGCCTATAGCCTTCCTCAATAAACGGGCTATATAATGCAAAAAGGATTTTTCAAATAAGATTATTAGTTCCTGAGATTAGCGCGGTTAATCAAACAAACACACACACAAACAAACAAATAAACAAACCCTGCCTCTATAATATTAGTATAGATTTGTCCATCTCGTAACAAATTAAAATAAATAATATACGGAACCCTTGTGACGAAAATATCGTTTTACATCATACTTATTGTGGGATATCCTAAATGAGAAGTGGGAAAAAAGCATGCATCCACATAAAAGGGACGAGTTGGAAAGGGATAAGGATATATTTTACTGTATGTTAGAAAGAGACAGGTGATGTCACGCCGTGGGTGCGTGCAAGGTGAATGCACGATCTTATTCGGTGCAGGAAATCCCTTAAATGGGTCATGTTTGTTTACCAACATAATATCTTTGTATAAGATTCACTTTCTATATAGGAAAGATTTATTTATAAATTGCAAGTTGGATTGTCAATCGTTGTTAAATTAACAAAATTGTATTATATCTCTAAAATTACTCATTTAGACTTAGAGGATAAAATTCATTTAATTTTGTCTGTAAAATTTTATAAAAACTTAAAAAAATATATTAAAAACCGACTTCCAGGCACTAAAATGTAAAAAATAACTAAACGGAGGTTTTAATTTAGGATAGATACCTAATCAGATATTTTCGAAGTCGGTGCCAGCCGATGCAATGCAAATCTAATGTATTTCGATACGTAAAATACATGTTTACCTAATAGATATTCATATTGTATATATATATATAAATTATTGTAGGTGAGAACCTCCTCCTTTTTGGAAGTCGGTTAAAAATTGTTCCAAAATTTTTCCTAAATAAAACTAAGGCTAGTTTTGAAAAGCTATATAATATAAATAAAACTATTATTATATTAGCTATTTATTACAAAAGAACAAGCAATATTGGATGACGTTATATTTTTTTGTCAATTTACATACTATGAGGTAATCGAACTTTGTATCTTATAAATAACAACATATTATTTAAAAATATGCCCATATATGTAATACAAGAAAAAACTAAAAGAATATAAAATATAATTATGTAAATAAACAATGAATTTACGAATAAAACATTTTTAAGACAAGACATTTAATGCAAAATTTTTTGTTTCCTTTGTTCCAGAACACGTACTCGTATAAAGCTGCCGTAGTCGACGTGGCCAAGGGCGATTTCCATAGCGGAAAATATGCAGATATCGTATATGAGGCTGCCAAACTGGTAACTACTTATTGGCTACTTGTTTTTACCCGACTACGGCGAATCCCAAAGGCGAGTTATGTCTTTGACCTGTATGTATGGCCGATCACATGTACCTACTCTTGTAATTACTCAACAACTTTGATGATTCATATATTGTTAAATTCGTCTCGGTAACGCGAATATCATAGGCTATACTTATGAATATTAATAAAAATAAAAATGGCAGATCTCAGGAGTCAAAACAGGCGATTACAAAAATATATACAACATATAGTTTGAAATAATTTAGGATAATAATTTTTTAATAAAACTAAAAATGTCTAACTGGTCAAATCTAAAAGCTGTATCTCCTTCATTGGGTTAAATTATCGTTTATGTGTAGGGATGTAAAGAAAGCAATCAAATTGGAGCCCCTGTGTTCTATTCAATATAATCTGCAATGTCTGAGAGCATCCAAATTATTCTTCATCCAATTATGCTTAACGATGATTGACATTAAAATATCATCATACCCGTATAAACAGTTCTGTAACAAAATAAACTGGAAAAAATAAAAATATCGTATTGAACCCTTTGAACGTCCCACTGCTGGGCACAACCCTTCCCTTACTGTAAGGGGGATCAGACCATAGCCCAGCACGCTGGCCAAGTGCGGGTTGGCGGACTTCATGTCTATCTAGAACTTGCTAGGGAGAACCAGACATGTCATGACAGGTTTCCTCACGATGTTTTCCTTCACCGTAAGGCAAGTGGTAATCATATCAATGATTCGCACGAGAAAATATCAGAGGTGCGAGACTTGGGATTTGAATCCGCCTCACTCTTTCCCAAGCAAGAGAAATATAATTTACTTGCATTGCCGCGGCTTCGCCCGCTTTTAGATGACTTTTGTATTTTTTCTCAGAAATGAGACATTTTCCCGCGGTAAAAAGTATCCTATATGTTGACCCGGATAACCAGCTATCACTATACTAAATTTCAATAAAATCTGTCCAGTAGTTTTCACGTGATGCGGTAAGAGACAGACAGACAAAAATTCTTAAAACTATAGATTCGGCTTCTGTATCGATAATAAAGTCTATTTTAATAAGATTTTCCGAAAAATATCTAATGTACAGATTCGGCTCAGTTAGAATTTTGTTATATGTATAAATTATTATTACTTTTTATCTAAAAAGTTGTCGATTTCAAAACAAAAAAAATATTAAAAATGGTTCACAATTGGTGTAGTTATAGCGAAATATACGCAAAAACATACTAAAACCCATTTTTTACCATTTTTGTTTCAGAATGTAGATATAGTAGTGTTGCCGTCGCCAAATGATATTCCGTCTGAAGGCGCATTAGAGCTGTGTATGAATGAATTGGATAACTACGATGAGGTGAGTTATAATTTTTAGCAAAGTTATATTGCTGATAATTCTTATTGCTGATATTTCTATTACTAACATCAACAATTGTGATAATTTTTTTTATTAATTTAAATTTTGTTAGTAAAAAGTATTTATTATATAATCAAACTAGCGACTTACTCTAGGTGCGTCCCTAAGTACGTTTTAATTTTTTCGAGTGGAACCCTAATTCTTTTTTTTTAAATAAAAGTAGCCTAAATCAACTATCTGCCAATGAAAGTCCCATTAAAATCAGTCAAGCCGTTTCGGAGATTAGCCGGAACAAAAAGAAAGACAGACAGACAAAAAATGTAAAAAATTGTATTTTTCTTATAAGTACCGTAAATAATGTCATATGTATTTAGTAAAAAGCTGTTATTTTGACATTACAAGCAGACAGTTCAATTTTATTTATCTGTATAGATGCTCACACTCTGTTTTAATTGTAGTTTAAAACAATAAAAAACTTAACAACGTTGTGTAACAACTTAAAGCTTTTATTACGACATTTATTACAAGAATTATTGCTAGATTTCGCTTATCAAACGAGATTAATGTAATCATTGCAGCCTTTGTTTAAACAAAAATAGAATTATATATAGACTTAGACGCATATAATTTAATATTGTATAGGTACTAATGTTTATAAATAAATAAATATGTTTGGAACGCACAGCACCATCTAGGTCCATGGTAAGCTACGAGGCTTGTGTTATGGATACCAGATAGTTGATACACTACACATAGTAATATATAACATCAAATACATACATATTATAAATATAAACACCCAACACTGGAGTACAAACATTCGTGTTCATCACATAAATGAATGCCCCCAGCGGGTATCGAACACGCGACCACTGGCACAGTAAGTAGGGTCACTACAAACTCAGCTAAACGTGTCGTCATCAAAGTAAATTAAATATATAAATAGATATTGGTATAATACGTGCTAGGTTTGTGAACAGCTGCGAGCTGATTACTTATTATCGTAGGCAAGTAATGGTTTTTATCGTCATAATAATATAATATTACTACGTCTGTATATACGTAAGCAATAATTATTGATTTTCAAAAATTCATCATTATTGCTCCCCTTCGCACATTATTGCCAAATTTCTTGGTACTAATGAATTAATTTTATTATCTATACAGATAAATAAAATTGAAGTGTCTGTTTGTAATGTCAAAATAACAGCTTTAATACTAAATGCGTATGGAATAACATACGGTACTTACAAGAAAAAAGAAATTGTCTGTCTGCCTCTTCCGGCTAATTTGCGAAATGGTTGGACCGCTTTTGATGGGACTTTCACAAGCAGATAGCTGATGTTATAAGGGGTAACTTAGGCTACATTAATTTAAAAAAAATAATAATTAGAGTTACGTTAAAAAGTTAATTGATATGTAGGTTCTATGTAGATAGTTTACGGAATATAACTAGCCGATACTCGTACCTACAAATCTGAGCTACTCGTATGTATTCATTTAATTTCATAAAATCGATATTATTTGTGTACTTTGAAATAGATCTTAAATACAGTTATTTTTATGTTATTATGCGAAAAATTGTGAAGCCATATTATTATAATTATTGCAATATCATTTCCCTTTATTGGCGATTGTTAGATTTTAATTTTTGGGTTTTCTCATTAATAATACGTAAGGAAAAATGTGTGGCAAATGTTATACATATTCGAGGAAAACCTGAAATATATTATACTCAAAACATATTTAGCTTCCATACAATTATATTATTTACATTTATTTATGTAATTTTAATGATATTTAATGGCACATTCATACGTTTTTCATCTATACATACATATAATAAAATTGTAACTAAGCCGAATCTGTACATTAAATATTTTATGGAAAAACTTATTGAAATAGACATTATTATCGATACAGAGGCCGAATCTATAGTTTTTAGAATTTTTGTCTGTCTGTCTGTCTGATACCGCATCACGGAAAACCACTGGAGGGATTTTGATGAAATTTGGTATGATGATAGCTGGTTATCCGGGTCAATATATAGGGTACTTTTTACCGCGGCAAAATGTATCATTTATGAGAAAAAATACAAAAACTGGAATGTAAGAGTATACTAATATGTAAAACCTAAGAATTAGGTTTTTCGTCATCTTAACGCGGGCGGAGCCGCGGGCGATGCTAGTCTATTATAAGTAAAATCCCCTCTTGGACTCCCCTACTATTAGTTTAACCTGTAAGTTGTAACTGCGCATGTAAACAAATCTCGGATGTCGAATTTAACCATTTTTTTATCATCGTATCGATTTGGAATTTTGCAAATGTATATAATATGTATACATGTATAAATATATATATATATATATAAATAAATAAATAATATTTTTGAAAATCTCTGAGCATTGATATGTGGCAAAAAGGCACAAGGAGTCTTTTTGCATTAACAATAGTATATTTTAAATAAACCTATATTTTCGGACTTTTTCGCGGATTTATTTTCATTTTTGCTGGAAACTTGAAAGCTTTACAGCAATCGTGGTTACGGGAGAGACGAGAAAGAAGATCTTAGACGTTTCAAAATTTAGCAATATTTTTTTTTGCAGATAGTAAAGTCCGTATCAACAGCAGCTAAGGAGGGTCAAGTGTATGTCGTGGCGCATCTGTATGAAAAAACTCACTGTCAAGATAAACAAGAATTGATTAGAAGCAATTTGGTATTCGATCGTCGCGGCAACATAGTTTCTGTGTGAGTGACTATATTGTTTATAAGTACTAGATTTTGTCTATGGTAGTTTTGCTTAAATTGATTTTAATTATGACACCATAATTATTTTATCTTTTAGTTATATAATTTAAAATAAAAGCAATTCTATCCCACGGGAACCGTACATTTCCGTATTATCCGTAAATTTCCGGGATAAAAAGTAGCCTATTCTGATGTATGAGTACATCTATACATCCATACATACTCACAAACTTTCGCATTTATAATATTGGTACGATTAGTAGGATATAATCATGAACGAATTTCGTTCATGGATATAATATATAATAATCTATACATATAATAAAATCCTAACTGAGTCAAATCTGTACATTAAATATTTTTTATAAAATCTTATTGAAACAGACATTATTATCGATACGGAGGCCGAATCTATAGTTTTTAGAATTTTTGCCTGTCTGTCCGTAGTAATAAATAATAATATAATTTATTTGAGTGGGAGTATAGTTGTATTCTTGTATTTGTACTTTAAATACATGTAGCGAGAGATATACTTTTTATCTACAAACGGAAAATCGCTGTTTTTATCTCATCTATTTCTCCTAAAACCGGTTTTATTTTCTGAATAAGATCTTTTTTTATCATTCTCCCGAATCTGCATTCTGCCAGTAAAAGATCCTAATAAATAAGTTTACTGTTTAGTTGTTTCTGAAATTATCGAATACATGCAGATATTTAAAAAAATGACTTTGGTGTCGTGAAAATGACAGTATCGAGCTCAATAACTTGAAATTGCAGAAAGATGCGTTATTTTTATTTATAAGTATAGGAATTTTTGTCTGTTATATGAAGAAATTAAATTATTTGAATATTAGTATTGTATTCAGCCCTTTATAACGTCCCACTGCTGGGCACGGGCCTCTCTTCAATACGAGGGGGATCAGGCCATAGTCCACCACGCTGGCCAAGTGCGGGTTGGCGGACTACACATGTCTTTCGAAAACTTGCTAGGTTCTCTGAGACATGCAGGTTTCCTCACGATGTTTTTCTTCACCGTAAAACCGTTACCGTTTGAATATTAGTATAGATTGTAAAATAAATAAATGTTGGGACATTGACACACAGCGCCATCTAGTTCCATGGTAAGCTACATATTATAAATACAAACACCCATGACTGGAGTACAAACATTCGTGCTCATCACACAAATGTATGCCCCAGTGGGACTCGAACCCGCGACCGCTGGAACAGCTAGTAGGGTCACTACCAACTGAGCCAAACGTGTCGTCAAGTATAGATTGTGTATTATTATTATAATTAGTAACAAAAATATATAATTTTAGTTACAGAAAGCCATTAAACACTTTGTCGAAGTGCAACACGACGATGCTAAAAAGTGGACGATTTACCACCGATTTTGGTACAACATTCGGAATATTAATGGAGGAAGATATTCTTCTGAAAAACGCGAGCGAATTCGATGGGATCAAGAATTTTATACTGGCGGGGTCTTTTGTGCCGAAAACCTCTTTCTTATTTGGTAAGCAATGTACCTGTTAAATGAGAAAATGAAATAAAAATATCTAAATATAGGTAGTTTATGTATTTCTTGTGTATTTAATACTGGAAAATAGAAATTTACCTCACTTAGCTCGGGAGCGTCCCTAAGTATGTTTTAATTTTTTTTTAACGGAACTTATTCTTAACATAATATATATATAACATAATATATAATATTCGCCAAATTCAAAAAAATTGTTAAAGAACGTTTGTGTGCTAAAGGCTATTTATTATACAATAAATGATTTTATAGAAGATGGCACACCTTGGGAATGAAATGATCGCCTCCAGGCTACTTCAACTTGATAGAAATATTGTAAATTATAATCTTACTTTAAAAAAAAGATAAGTTAATATTAGTCCCGCTGAGTTTCTTTCGTCAGTTCTTCTCAGGTCTGAGGCTCTTTCCGAACTGGTAGTACACTCATGACGTTCAGTAAAAATTGTAATCATTTAATGCTGAATAAAATATTTTGGATTTGAAAATTTAAATTTTCCTAAAATAAATGTAACCAAAGTTACTTTTTGTAACGTCAGCTGTCTGCCAGTGAAAGTCCCGTCAAAATCGGTTTAGCCGTTTCGAAGATTAGCCGGAACAAACAAACAACATATTTAAAAAAATATGTTTTTCTTATAAGTACGGTATATAATTTCATATGCATTTAGTAAAAAGTTGTTATTTTGATATTACAAACAGAGAATTCAATTTAATTTATCTGTATAGATAACCTATTTCAACTATTACAATAATTACCATAAATATAAATTACAATACAATGAGTGAGGAGCGAAGTTTATTTATTCATATAGATATATAGGTAGTTTTCTTTTATTTTTATTCTATAACATAATGATTGTAGAAAAACAAATAAGATAATGAATATAACATAATATCGCTTAGTAAAGTAGAATATAATAAATTATATATATATAATACAAAATAAAACAAACGACGCACTGAAATGACTTGCACAAAAAACCCTTAAGGTAAATTGACGTACAGAAATTGCAATTGAAGTAACCAATAACGTAAGAAATAGTTAATATGAATATCGTCCGATACAAATGTTCCCTTTTACGGGACCTATGTCCGATTTCACCAACATCCCATAAGCTACCACCTACGTATGGGACCCCTAGCTTAAAAGTCCCCTAAACCAGCCCTTAAATTAAATTTCGTTTTACGATCGTCTTTAAGCCCATATTTCGAGCACCTAAATTTAGGGGGCCTTTTAATATTTAGGTGACCCCTAACTGTCAGTGAATCAGAAACTGTCCCCTAGCAACCCCCTAACCATGCTTAGGGGATCCCTTAAACTTAGGTGACGTTGGTGAAATCGGCCGCTAAACTCGCAAATCTTAGTTACTTTGAGAATTCACAGCTACTGTATCATATAAGGTGTTTTAAACCATACTTTAGATTTTTTGGATTCAAATAGCTATGTAAATTTTGTGACTGGTTCGTTTGTCTAGGACTGTAAATACTGAGGTCCTGGGTTCGATTCTCAGGTAGTTCCACCGAACTTTGAACTTTGAACTTTGCACTTGTATTTGAATACATATTTGAGCAATATAACATCAATAGCGCATAAGTGTGAAGCCACCGTGACCGAAATCGGTCAGGAGGACGTTATTATTAGTTAAACTAGCGACTCACCCTCGCTTCGCTCGTGTTCGTCCCTAGCTTGCTTCCCAACACAAACTTTCATCCCCATTGTGACCCCCTTAAGGGATGATTTCCGAGATAAAAAGTATCCTATATCCTTCCCAGGTTCTCAAACTATCTTCTTACCAAATTCCATCTAAATCGGTTTAGTAGATCCAGAGATTGCCCCCTACAACGTCACAAACCTTAACTTTTTATAATATTAGTATAGATAATATAATGTGATTTGAAAGATCTTAATTTTATTACAGCAAAACAATTTCCCTCATCTTGGGCATATGTAAATAACGTCAATCTTATTACTGCGAATGGAATATTTGGCGGTAATATAGATTTGAAGAGCGCTCCCAATCAACTGATCGTTGCAGAATTCAACAAAGAAGCCAGAAATGGTAACTATTTTAGTACAAATGTTAACTGTTGTCTGTTACTTCCTTATATCTTAAAGTTTTCATTTAAAATACTCAGTAATAAATTCGAAGTTGGACATTTAATGTCCTGTTATTATTATTTATCCGAATATGCCTATTTTTATCCGACGAAAAAAAGAAGGAGGTTCTCAATTCGACACGTATTTTTTTTATTTTTTTTTTATTTTTCATGTTTGACATCGCGTAACTTTTTACAGTGCAGTTCGATTTCGATGTTTGTTTTTTTTTATTAGATAGGGTTTACCTCAATTGGTCCCATTTAAATTTTCAAACAATAATCCACCTATCCTACTGCATTTTAAAAAATACTTTATTCTTACTTTGTCTGTACTAAAAATGGAAAAATAAAAACTCAAAAAAAAACACTTTGAAAAAGCTTTATCCATATACACACATATGATGTACATGCAACTGGGATTATTGTTATAATTAGAAAAAAATATGTACTAACTTTAGACATAATTCTACTTGAATTGTTAAGTCTAAAAAAGTTTTTTTATATGTAAGTTTTGAAATACTAATAATAAGATTTGTCCCATTTCAGACGTCCCTCGACCCCTCACTGTCACCCCTGACTCTTTCTCTACTGGAGATTTTAGTCAGTATAGTATCAAACCCCTGGACTTAGATGCTAGCAGCCAGGGCTACACTGACACCGTCTGTCAGGGAACATTCTGCTGTCAATTTTACGTCAAAGCAAGCCTAATTGGTAAGATTTTTACTTTCGAAGTTTTTCTCATAATAGGAAAAAGTGTTTATGGACACTATTAGAATATCGTTTTAGTGTATTTAACAATTTAATATTTTCATTTAAGAATGTGGCTTCGAAAGTGACATGGAAGGTTCTGTTGAAGAAATAATGATAAATAATTTGTTTAAAGATGAAAAAAATTTTTTTGGCGATAACCGATGATAATTTATTTGGCGATAAACGATAAACCCAAAAATATAAAATCTAGGTCCATAAACCTTACCTATGTAATTGTAGAAATATATTTTAGACTAGCGACTCTCCCACCTAGTTAAATTTTAACGTTTAGTATAGATTTCTCAGAGATGAGATATTTTCCGCAGTAAAAAGTATCCTAAATGTTGACCCGGATAACCAGCTATCATCATACCAAATTTCATCAAAATCTGTACAGTGTTTTTCTCGTGATGCGGTCACAAACAGACAGACAAAAAATCTAAAAACTATAGATTCGGCCTCTATATCGATAATAATGACTATTTCAACAAGATTTTCCAAAAAAAATTTAATATACAGATTCGACTCAGATAGACATTGTTTTTAAATTCATTGCTACATTAAAGTCCTCCTTTACATTATATTTTCAATATAAAAGATAGATCTTTATCTCATAGGTAATTGACAAATCATGTCAAAATATTTCATTCATTATTCATCAATTAAAACTATTATTTTGTGTTTCCAGGATCAAAACAAGGCATCACTTACGGTTTAGTGGCATTCGATGGCACTCAACAGCTAAGCGCCAACTATATTGGCGTGCAAACTTGTTCTATCGTCGCGTGCGCAGGATTGTACAAACGTTCCTGTTTTGTTGGGTAAGCAATATTATATATATCTTCTTCTTCTTCTCCCTGCCCATTTCCCAAATCACTTGGGGTCGGCGCAGTACATCTTCAGTGTACTGCTGATAGGATTTGGCAAAAGTTTTACGACCGGCCGCCTGCCTGACGTCAACCCTCCTTGGGAATGCTATTGTCTTTCTTTGTCTGAATGGTGTTAAATATTATGCACTTTCGATTTTGTTGTGTTTTAAAACATTTTTTATACTATTAATTCAATTATTAATGTTATTTTTGGATATATTTTAAAATAAATTTCGATTACACAATAAATTTTGTATTGACATTGTCAATTTTTTTCTTTTCGTTTTATATATATATATAATATATATATATATATATATATATATATATATATATATATATATATATTATTTACTGGTTTTCATATAATGTGTGAATCTAAATAGCAATGTTTGAGTGCTGATTGTTGTGATGAATAGCCATTTTGTTCTTTTTTTGTCCCCTATTTAAATCTAATTTTACACCAATTTTAAAATAATCTTTAAATTAATTTGTATATTGTTACTATGTTTTGCTGGAAGGCTAGATTGATTTGTACGAAGTTTAGTACACATATACATTATAGACTATGACCTGGAGTAACACATAGGCTACTCTTAGGTACCTAAGTCGGAATTATATTAAAATTAGCAGACCCGGTCGTTCCGAATAGTTAATTTTGTAATAAAAAGGCAATAATTGAGATAAAAACTATCGTATTTAAGTTAGAAAAAATCACATATTTTGAAAAAAAAAATACTTTAAGATGGGATAAGTAGTTTTGGAGACATCACCGTCGTGACATGGGATTTTTTTATATTAAAACTAGCGACTCACCCTCGCTCCACTCGGGTTCGTCCCTAGGGTGAACCCTTATCACTTACATGTATGAAAAATAGTTTAATATACACACAAAATTTCATAAGAATCGGTCAAGCCGTTTCGGAGGAGTTTTGTTACATGACACGAGAATTTTATATAGATGGATCGAAATTATTACGTTGGGAAATATGCCATATAATGACTGTTTTGATATACGACTTAGTTTATACTTTTAACAATATTAATAAGTTATTTTCATTTACAGGTCTGAAAACAACAGCACAAATGTTAAATTTGAAAAAATTACCATCAACGGTAATTTTTCCGAAGACAACTCCGCTCAGTTTCCATCTATCTTAACGTCCACTCAAGATGTATTTAAGAAGGAGAATTTAAAATTTACCATTCAAAATAAAAATTTTAAATATGTCACTGCCGAATTGTATAACAAAGAGAATGTCTTAAGTTTCGGTATTTTTGGTAGAGTATATTCAAGAGATTACGATACTTCTGAATTTGGTCGTGTTAACAATACAGACGGTATAAGCGATTTTTCAGAATATATTTCTAGTGAAAATGTACAGGAATTCTTTGATTATCTGTGGATTAGATTAAGGATTGTGATTTTTATTGTATCTATATACGTTTTAGAAATGATGTAAAGTGTTTTTTTAATAAGCGATATAAAGCCATATAAAATAAGGGTATTTAAGATTCAACGTGAGAGTAGAGATTACCAGTAATCAAAATTATTAAGTTATAAGAAAAAAATAGTGGTTTTTTAATACAATAATGGTAGCTATTATTATTTAAGAACAAGTTATATTACGAATGTTTATTCAATGGTCCAAGATTTTGATCTATTTTTGGTATTTTTTGTAATTATTTTCTAATTTTCTTTTATAAAGTAGGGCTATTGTATGATATAATGTTATGGTATTCCCGTGTTTTATGAAAAGACACTGCCATGCCAATGCCAGATATGCCAATTCATATGTAGTGTACATTTTTACTAGCGATGAAACGGATAGTTGTTTAGCCGGATACCGGATATCCGGTGAGCTGTCACGTTGTATGTTACGATATGTGCATATTTAAACAATTATATAATTTTGTATTATTTGCATCACGGATTTTTTGTGCAGTCTATTAAAAAAATAAAACGTAATTTTCAAATAATCGGCATGCGGCCGGATATTGCATTACTATCTGGTATCCGGATAGTAAAATAAGACAGGATAGGTGGGATACCGAATAGTTACCGGATATCCGTTTCACCTCTAGTTTTTATCTTATTTATTTATAGCCCTTTAACAAATGAAAATATTGTACATCTTTTAAGTTATTCTCAACGTTTACACAATCTTAAAATATGAATCATTTTGAACTTTTAGAGTTGAGTATCTTTTAATTATATTATCTATATTGTTAATCCCTCCACAACCACAGATACGCCGGCGTTACAGTTAACTATAGATTTCTTAGAAATTTAATTAATTTCTTAGAAATTTACCTGGAGGTGTTATTTATGTCGCTTGAACTGTAGCATGACGACTGAACTTAATTTGCATGTACGAGCGATGCATTTTTGTATGATAGCACATTTTGTGCTCTGGATGAGATATACGACTGATCTCTGTGATATTAGACATATGTGTGTGATAATAAATATTTTTTATTGAAATACTTCGTTTAATTTTGTATCTGTTTCTCTCATTATTAAACGAGTAATTCTTGTATATATAATACTAGCGGCTCACCCTCGCTTCACTTGGGGACGCCTTTACAAAAACAAAAACAAATCTATCCCACGGGAACCGTACATTTTTCCGGGATTAAAGTAGCCTGTAGGTAATGCTCATATGAGAAAGGTGTACAAAAACATATGCCCAGAAAATGTGTTTGGAGAAGAAGATATAAAAACTATTAGATATATTCATATATCAAATATTTTTTGTGAAATCACAATTTGAAATAGATATGAAGTAAATACTGGCAGAAAATTTTCTAAATAGTCTTCTGTCTGTAATCTAGCGGCTGACCCTCCCTTTGCTCGGGTTCGCCTCTAGAATAACAACAGCAAACCTATCCCACGGAAACTGTACATTTTTCCGGGATAAAAAGTAGCCTATGTGTTATTCCAGACTATAATCTATCTCAGTGTCAAATTTCATCCAGATCCATTCAGCCGTTCTAGTGTGAAAGAGTAACAAACATCCATACTTACAAACTTTCACATTTATGATATTTATAATACATATTTATACACATTGTAAAGAATAAAGATTTTTTGTTTGTTTGTTTGTACCGAATTAGATAAAATTTGGTAAGAAGATAGTTTGAGACCTCGGGAAGAACATATGATAGTGTTTATCTCGGAAATCATATCTTTAGGGGGTGAAAATGGGGATGAAAGTTTGTATGGGGAATCAACTTAGGGACGAACGCGATCGAAGCAACGATGAGTCGCGAGTTGGTAATAAAAAAAACCTCAGTTAGGTATATTTATACAATATAAGTATATTTTTATACTATGAGAATATCACATAAATACAGAATATAGACGAATTAAATTATGTTATTATTTATATATAGGATTTGGGTTATTTATTTTATCCATGTTTATTGGTTTTTCTCTTATGGTGAATAAAATGAACATGATCTTCATCATCTTCAAGCAACGTCTTCTCTATCCAACCCATATAGGCTTCCACCTAAAAAAATATATACTAAGTAACATAACAGTAAGAGGAAAGCACATCATAAAGAGATAAAATGAGTCAAATATGACTTTCTGGCTTCACTTTATTCTGGTGCTGAAAGGTTAGTTTATGGACCAAATATTGATATATAAGTTACTTGAACCCAACCCCCAATATGCAATAATATATGAAATACAATATTAAGTGGCAAGCGTAAAAAGCTTCCTCTATAGTACAAGGACAGATCATATAATAATATAATAATGGTACAAGCGACGTGTTGCAATTGATTCCAGGACCCTTGCTTGTAAGAAATTATTTGCATTATATACCTTAGTGTACACATCTGGTAGTCCTCTGGCACACGGCACGCCCCAGGAGACGACACCAACCTGGCGTCCTTCTCTCACCAGCGGACCTCCGGAGTCACCCTGAAAATAGAAAACATATATTTACTATTATATACGTACGTCTAAATAAGAGAGAAAAGTGGGATCGTCAGTTAAAGCCACATTGAATAACTGATGATTGTAAAATTAAGGCAAAAATTTTTTGTTGCAACGTATACGTAAAGTTGGTCCTAGGTGTAAAGTCAGACTGACGTTATAAATGTGAAAATTTGTATGTATTTATGTTTGTTACTGCTGTGCCGTGGCCGGAATCGGTCAGGAGAACATGGCTCGACGGATTTGGATGAAATTTAGTACACATATAGGCTTTGATCTGGAGAAAAGCATAGGATACTGTCAGGCATCAAGGAACGCACCCAAGTGTAGATTCACTAGTTAAGTTAAATAGAGTTAGTCGCTAGTATGTAAATAAAAAGTTATAAGGCGTTAAATACGAACATAATTAAATTGCGTCTATGTAAAAAATGTAGGCTATGTATTACTTACATGGCAAGCTCCTTCCCCAGCTTTTGTCAAAGCACAGATCTGTGACTCAAACACCGCGTTGACGCTTTTGTGAGCTTCCTTACAATCTTCGAAACTGATCGCCTTCAGTTCTAGCTGCATCAGGTCATTTGGTAGGTGTCCTGGATACTATTAATAAAAAAGATTATTTAGGACCATCTTCCGTTCATTGTTTTGCTATGCTATATACATTGTACCTACATTAGTTTCAAAAACAATTAACATATGATTTTCAGTAATTGTAACGTATAAGAATCCTCAAAATGGATAAATAAGCACACATATCAAGGTCTAGTAGCCCATAGCAATGAAAGAGTTCCTTTATACACCTGGCTCCATCATCAGCTCGATGGTTTCTAATGAATTGTGATTTCAAGACTAGGCTACGTTAATTTTGTGGTCAACGGAGATTTCTAGTAGAATAATGTTTACCTACCGTGTTCGCTAGTATGTGCATAGAATTATAATACCATTCGTTAACGCCTGCTGATATTTTATAAGCAAAATCCTTCTCTAATACATATGCCGATGTTTTTTGAAACAGATTTTTTACAAACTCAGTTTAACTCTATAGGGATTAAGTTATAGTAAAGTTAAACTCTAGTTAAGTCGCGCTAATACGTAAGTCTTACTTACAGAAGTGGTACCCCATCCAGTTAGAAGCAATTCCTCTCCTTTCTCTACCGGTTCATCATTTAATTCAATAGCATCAACATCTTCTCCAAATTGTACTTCTTCCTCCGTGAATATAATGGCTATATCGTTTTTGATGATGTCGGAATCGTATTCTTCATGTTGAACGATCTTTCGAATTGCGTATGTAGAGCCGCCTGTGCGTAGTTGGTTGGTGCCAACGACTGCCTTGAAATATTGGGGTCTTAATCTGTAATTTTGAAAATATTATAATACCTAATATATATGTAAATATAAGAATGATACTATTACTAAACGCGAATATTTGTTAATGGCAAAATACCTTGTTCCTGATGTTTCGAGAGGGTTGCATCAGTCTTGGACACAGGCAGGCTATTTCAAACAATTATAATTAAACGCCAAAATTTAAAAAGTTAAATGTGCAAATATTTTTTTATTAATATTTGTGTGTGTTTGTTATTCTTCGTCTCCTAAGCAGCGTTATCGATTATGATTATTTTTTTGTATTTATGGACATTGGACTTATTGTTTCTGCGATGGAATTTTTTATCTATTTTTATTTATATTTTTTTCTTCTTTAATTCGTAAAATAGCAAGATTAGCCCAAAAATAAGGACCACAATAAATCATTACCATTATTACAAAAAACGAAAGCTTATATGTTACTCTTTCACGCTGAAACGGCTGGATGTATTTGGATGAAATTACACTATTAGATAGACTGTGGTCTGGAGTAACACATAAGCTACTGTTGGTAATAAAAAATCCAAAAGGTGGTAACTATGTTTGCACAAAAGGAGCCCTAGTCGCTATTACTGATTAAATAATAAAATAATGGTAACGTCATCCTGACCAAATTGGTCACGGCCACGGCGGCCAAACTCACTGAACGTAGAAATACGCAGAAGATATTATAGCGCATAAGTGTACGCGCAGACACAAGTGCACTCTCTATTCCTGTCACTCTCATACTCCGGTGGGACGACCACTCGACTCGACCAGTGAGCGTTAAGGCGCAGGACCGACGGTTTTACGTGCTTTCTGAGACAAGGAGGTGCAACACCGCTAACTTCCCCACTGCGGGCTATTACTGAGAATATTTTAACAGAAAAAATCCGAAATTAAATTTGACCCGACCCGGGACTCAAACCTAGGACCATCCAAACCTAAGAGCATCTGCAGCAGTACATGCTAGCCGCTAGATCACCGAGGCTTATTAAATGAAAATGAAAGAACTAACCTGTCAGTACAATGTGCTGCAGTCAGAATCACTCTAGGCGTGATCAGTGACGCTCCACAGAAATGTCTTACACCCCAAATTCTTAAGGAAACTTGGTACGGTGCAGACCCATTGGGTGCTTTAGTACCTCCTACTATACGTTCCCAATCTTCTTTGGCTTCGTTTGATAAATAGAGTTCAGATTTAACTGTAACATAAGATAGTTAAATGTTAGTCAATAGTAATAAAACTAACCACCATTTTTTACAACTTTAGGGGTTGAAATTCAAAAAATCATTCAGTATTTTGATTTTTCCTTCCCGAGCACAGCAATCATTCTCTCCCGAAACGTCGGGAACCAAAAATTGAAATTAAACTCGTGAAAAAAAACGAAAAAATAATTTTATTTAAAATCAATTAATCATTACAGGAATATGTCGTCAAAAGCTTTTTACCTTTTCGAAATTAAACTAGTTATAAATATTATTGCAAAATAGCAAGAATTTTTTTGGCCAATTGAAAATCAAATATGAAATTATTTCAACTGAGACAATTATTAGGTATCTAAATATTAGTTTGTACTCTATAATAAATATTAATGTTTGTATGTTTGTACTCCATGCGTTCCTAATCGATTAATCCGATTTTGATGAAACTCTGGTGGGTTATGGCGAATGTTTCTGGCGCATTTTTCTTTGGACGCTTGTCTTTAATGCGGCCCTAAAATATTCAAGCTTCGGGACACAACCGTGCAGAGTGAGGGTCAGTCGCTAGTCTCTAGAGATAAGTATAATAAAATTCTAACTAAGCCGAATCTGTACATTAAATACTTTTTGGCAAATCTTATTGAAATAGACATTATTATCGATACAGAGACGACAGCCATTCAAAAACTAGACAGCCTACAAAGAACAGCCTGTCTAATGACCACAGGAGCCATGTCTACGTGCCCTGGTCAGGCACTAAATGCATTACTCGGGCTGCCACCTTTAGACCTATTCATACAAAAGGAGGCAAAAGCCAGCATGCATAGAGCTAAAATCCAAGGCAGAACTCATTGGCTCTCACGAAAAATGAGGACCCTACAGGACTCATTTCAAGAAATGCCGCTACTTGGTATGACGACTGATGCCATGCTAATTCGGCACTCATTTGTAAAGTATTATACAATTGAATTTCCGTCAAGAGAAGACTGGACTAAAAGCCAGGTAATCCATAAAATCGGATCTCTTATTTGGTTTACAGATGGCTCAAAAATAGAAGCAAAGGTTGGCTGTGGGATATATGGAGAGCGACCGAGGTTTAGCAAAAGCATACACCTCGGACAATTTGCCTCTATTTTCTAAGCAGAAGTCTATGCTATTCTAGAATGTGTAGAAGCTAATTTGTCTAAGCACTACACAAATCAAACTATCTATATACATTCAGATAGTCAAGCTGCACTACTAGCGATGGACTCAACACAGGTCTCATCAAAGTTAGTGGAGCAGTGCATGGACCGACTAAACCTCTTAGCAAGAAGTAACAAAGTAGTGTTAAGATGGGTACCGGGTCATGCAGGTGTAATTGGCAACGAGTGTGCCGATAAGCTCGCTAGAGGGGGAGCTCTTGGCATACAGCAGGGCCCTGAGCCCTTCGGTGGGATACCTAAGAGCCTAGCTCAAAGAACCCTAAATGACAGCATGTCCTTAAGACTGCGAACAAGACCTGGACTGAATCAAATGGAATGAACTCACTCCAAGGCATTAATTAGAGCCTACGACAAAAGGTTTAACAATCTTATGCTAGGGCTAAACAGAAAAAACCTTATACGAATACTGGTTAAGGGCCTTTACTGGACACTGCTGCTTAAATAAGCACATGTTCAACCTGGGGCTGAGCGAAAACGCGAACCTGCAGAATTTGCAGGGAGGCAGACGGTGTGTGTGAAACGCCACTGCATCTTCTGTGGGAATGTGGACCGCTCATGCACAAACGTAGTATTCATCTAGGAAAACAATTTCCAAGCCTAGATGAAATAAAAGAGTGTAACCCTAAGAAAATCCTGCAGTTCTTAACATCAGCAGGGTTTAGTGGTTCACTCTAGTACAAAATAGCGGCGATCACAATAGATCAGAAATGGTCGTAGTGATACATAAATAGCCGCCTAACAGAAATTAAAAAAAAAAAATCGATACAGAAGCCGAATCTATAGTCTTTAGAATTTTTGTCTGTCTGTCTGCCTGTCTGTTGCCACATCAAGACAAATTACTGGGCAGATTTTGATGAAACTTGGTATGATGATAGCTGGTTTTTCGGGTCAACATATAGGATACTTTTTACTGCGAGAAAATATTGCATCTCTGAGAAATCTATATACTAAACCTTAAAACGTAACTATTATATAACTTTTATATAAATACAGTACATAGTTTAGTAAAATTTCAGTGAAGCACAATCATTTGAAATAGGTACTAAGCATAAATAGATGTGTGCACTTTATTTATCTAATACTAGCGGCTCACACTCGCTTCACTCGAGTTCGTCGCTAGGTACGTTTTAAATATATGTATATAAATAGTTATTACCCAGCGTTAGCCATATAAATTATAATATGGTTGTTAAGTATTCTTAAGTATGTAACTAATCTTAAATTTTATAATTTTCCGCGCAATTTTTTAATTTTTTTCTTTCATAAGAACCTTCTCCTGACAATAAAAAACACAACAAAAAAAAATATATAGTTAAATCGGTCCAACCGTTCACGCGTGATGGCGTGACCACGGGAAATAGGGATTCATTTTGATATATATATATATATATATATATATATATATATATATATATATATATATATATATATATATATATATATATATATATATATATATATATATAAGATTAGATTCAGTAAATATAGTGGCATATCTAGATATATTCGAACTCGTAACCTCTGTATAGATAATTGTATTAATTGTGTCAAAGAACCATTTATTCGATACTATTAAATTAAGTATTTTTTGGTATTTGAAATAGATTTTTAGTTTCCGATAATTCAAATGCTTTCAATGCAATTCAAACGTACAGCAAACATTGGACAAATTCCCTTTAATATATAAAAAATATTTCTTTTGGTATCTACATAAGCGGCTTCTTAAAGTATTATATCATCGTGTAATGTGTCAATAAAAATAGCCAAATAAATATATTAACTAACACATAATAATAAATAAGGTTTTAAGTTTGTAAATATTGTAACATTTAAAAAAAATATATTAAATAATATATTAAATAAAAACTTTGTCAGAAGTGGGATTCGAACCCACGCCCACAGAAGTGGACTGCGACCTGAACGCAGCGCCTTAGACCGCTCGGCCATCCTGACTTACTATATCAGTGCGAAATTACGAATATCTTTCTAATACTCTTATCAATTACGTAATAAAATTATTATGGGACATTGTCATAATAAATCGAAACGTAATCAGTAGGGAATGTTAAGATTTCTTCAAATAGAGTTAGTATGATATAGTTCTAATTAATATACGTAGTAACAGAATTAACGTGTGAGCTATTTATAGTTTCTGAAATATAAATCGAGAGTGTAATACTTATAAGAGCTATTTTGCCTTAACTGTATTGATGCATTCGTTTGTCCCCTACAAGTACGTTATGATTATGCTTAACTTATTCCTCAGACTAAGAAATAATATATACAGTGTCATAGAACTAAGCATGACGACAAGTGTGGCTCAGTTGTGCCAGCGGTCGCAGATTCGAGTCCCGTTGAGGGCATGTGTAATGGAGCACGAATGAGTTATACTCCAGCCATGGGTGTTTATATTTATAATATGTATGTATTTAAAGTTATATATGTATAGTATATCAACTATCTGGTATCCATAACACAAGCCTCGTAGCTTACCATGGAACCTGATGGTGCTGTGTGTTAATGTCCTAACTCCTAATATATTTATATATTTACATTAAGTCAAACTATAATGGTTTAAAAAATCTAAACAGTAAAAATATTAATATCATATTAATTACTGTAATAAGTAACTAAATGTTGATAAAAAAATAGCTAACGGATTTTATTATAATAAAGAAAAAAAAACTAATATTACGCTATCTCTCTTTCTATCTATTTTTTAACTGGAGTTAAAAAATACAAAATAATATATTTAAAAATATATTTTTGTTACTTATTTTACAATATCTATATAAAATTTTCCTTATCCTTAGATGACACGCTATTTTTGACATTGACATTGATTAAGATTTTTTTCAGTATTGGAAGGCTACACTGCTTCTAAAGACATAGACTATTATTATTTTTTATTATATTATATTTTTTTATAAATTATATAATGTACATACAAAAAATGCTTTTGGTTAATTTTGCAAATATAGAAATAAGACACTTAAAATCCAATGAGCATATACAATATCTCATTAAGTTTTTACTAGAAAGAACTGAGCAGACAAACATATGTATAGATTTTATTATTACTGTATCATCTCATCATTCATTATATAATAAATTTGTAACTGATCGCTGTCTGTACATGGTAGATATTTGATCCAAAACAATGGTTTTTAGAACTTTTGGCTGTATGTCGGTTTGTCTGTACTTCACTTAATATTCAGTTTGTTTTATTTCAATAGGTTTATAAACAAAAAAGTTATGTCAATATAAAGAATCACCCAGGGGTAAGTCTGAGCGAAGCGAGGGTGCATCGCTAGTTATTAATATGTTATTGAATTCAAATAAAAACAATCATATATTTACCAAAATAACCATAAACGCCTAAAACAAGCGCACACACTAATATTCTTAACATTTTTATCACTGCACTATAACATTATAAAAAATCGCTCTTATATACTCGCTTTGTAGCGAGAATAATTTAAATCTATGTAAATTTGTAAAGGATTGCAGATAGCAAATCGATCTAAATACCTTTAGATATCACCCCTATTGTGTCTATTGTAGTTCATGTACTTTGTACTGTAAATCCTTCTCCCCTCACTTCAACACATATGTATATGTATGTATGTATATTACAGTAAGCATTTCTCATCGATTCTGTTACATTGAGCCAGTAATTCTTTATATGAATAACTAGCATTGCCCGCATCTCCGCCCGCGTTCAGATGACTAAAAATCAAATTCTTAGGTTTTACATACATACATTTGTATACTCTTACAATGCAGTTTTTGTATTTTTTCTCAGAAATGAGATATTTTCCCGCGGTAAAAAGTATCCTATATGTTGACCCGGATAACCAGCTATCATCATACCAAATTTTATTAAAGTCCCTCCAGTGGTTTTTCTGTGATGCGGTAACAGACAGACAGACAGACAAACAAAAATTCTAAAAACTATAGATTCGGCCTCTGTATCGATAATAATGTCTAATTCAATAAGATTTTCCAAAAAATATTTAATGTACCTACAGATTCGGCTTAGTTACAATTTTATTATATGTACCTATAGATGTATAACCATGCTCCTTTATCTATATCTATACATATAATCAAATTCTGAGTCGAATCTGTATATTAAATATTTTTTGGATAATCTTATTGAAATGGTCATTGTTATCGATACAGAGGCCGAATCTATAGTTATTTACATTTTTGTCTGTCTCGTCGTTTGTACCATATAGAGCGCAATGTAATAAAAGAAGGCTTAAAAAAATGATGTCTCTAACCATAGTAAGGATAACATTTACTTCTGGCACACCTTGTAGGGTATGGCAAACTGAAAGTTTGTAGGAGATAACAGTGTTAAAAGTTAGGTTTCGGGCCAAAACATACAATTAAATGTATAGATTTTTTCCAAATTCGATCACTAAAGGTAAAAAGTAAAAACCCTTTTTTTGCAAAGTTAGTAAAAATATCAAAGTGCACGAATTCGCGGGTCATAGCTAGCATAGTAATATAATATATGCAGATATGTTATCCCGTTGTATTCCTGACACAAATGCAAACACACGGCGATCATTATGGTGACATTGTCTCAGTGCGGATGTCGGCAATTTGACGCGTTCTTCAATGCTCTATGCAGATTGCTTGAGCTGTTAAATTTGTACGTAGAGTCACTAAGGTACAGCTAAAGTAAAGCTAGTAGTTTTGAATAGATATTTCCTTGCTATGACAAATTACACTATTATTATAAATATATATGTTTGTGTATGTATGATTGTTACGTCATTTCTTCACACTAAAACGGCTCAACGGATTTGGGTGAAATTTAGTACACATTTTTGAATCCAATTTTTAATTTTTGCTAATTTGCCTCGATTTAACGAGTCCCATACGTTGTAAATTAAGATATGTATTATTTATTTTTTTAAATCTATATAAAAAATGGCAAATTCATATGCTTGATATATAAAAAAAACCGTATTTTTATTGATAATATGTGATAAATGCCGTATCCATTTCATAGCATCCATGCAAGTCTGTGGCGCCAAGGCAACTATTCAGATGGGTGCACGTGAAATATCGTGCATTCGTTAAAATAGATAGTACATATAGACTACAGCGTTTATTTCTGATTCCGCTTCTAAATGTAATACCTAGCAATTTGTTGACAGACGGACAAACACAGCTCTTAAATTGCCTGTATTACTGTACGTACGTGTATGATTAAATCCATATTTAATGCTATAAATGTAAAAGCAACGGTGTGTTTGTTTGTTACGTTTTCACGTTTAAACCTGAACAGATTTCAATGTAATTTGGCAAGGACGTAGATTAAATTATCTGGACGGGCATAGGCTACCTGTCATTACTGTCCCGATAGCTATGCGAGCGAAGCCGCGGGCCAAAATTAGTAATAAAATTGGAAGTTTAGAAGTTTTTTACCAGAAGTTTTACAATTCGTTACCTAAAAAGATTTTTAGGGGTTTTTAGGGGTACAGTACATATTACTTTTACATATTAAATATTTACAAATAAATTGTTATTTATTTGCTTATTATATAGTACCAGCGACTCACCATCGCTCCGCTCGTGTTCGTTTTACGTTTTAAGTTTGTATAGATTTCTCAGGGATGAGATATTTTCCCGCAGTAAAAGTATCCTATATGCTGACCCGGATAACCAGCTATCATCATACCATCAAAAACTACCCAGTAGTTTTCTTGTGATGCGTTCCCAGACAGACAGACAAAAATTCTAAAAACTATAGTTTCGGCGTCTGTATTCATATTAATGACTATTTCAATGAGATTTTCTTAAAAATAATTAATGTACAGATTAGACTCAGTTAGAATTTTATTATATGTATAGATAAACAATTAAATAACAATTTGTAAGGATTCTGGAAAGTATGAACAAACAAACACTAACACTAAATATCTTATGTATAAACTTTTCATTTATAAAACAAAAGGGTATAACAATGAGAAAGCAATAGTAATTTCCTGTGACGTGCTGGAATGTTGCCGATATAGGTTAGTGAAGTGACAACATAGATGAAATTTCTTTGAAAATATTATATATACTAGCATTGCCCGCGGCTCCGCCCGCGTTCAGATGACCAAAAACCAAATTCTTAGATTTTACATATTAGTATACTCTTACAATGCAGTTTTTGTATTTTTTCTCAGAAATGAGATATTTTCCCGCGGTAAAAAGTATCTTATATGTTGACCCGGATAACCAGCTATCATCATACCAAATTTCATCAAAATCTGTCCAGTGGTTTTCTCGTGATGCGGTAACAGACACACAGACAGACAGACAAAAATTCTAAAAACTATAGATTCGGACTCTGTATCAATAATAATGCCTATTTCAATTAGATTTTTCAAAAAATATTTAATGTACAGATTCGACTTAGTTACAATTTTATTATATGTATAGACAATGGATTGAGATAGAAATTATAGTGTTATTTACTAATTATATTAAATTAATAAATAAATAAGTTTTAGTATAAAATAAAGTGATGAACGAGAAAATTACCCAATGTTATTGTAAAAGAGCGAGAGTTGTACAATATTTTTATACGAACTATACTTTTAAAAATCGTACCAGGGTATTTCTCCGAGATTGCGTTCTTCATGTGATTAATCTGGCCAAAAAATCTGTATTTTTTCTCAGAAATGAGACATTTTCCCGCGGCAAAAAGTATCCTATATATTGACAGACAGACAGACAGACAAAAATTCTAAAAACTATTTATAGATTCGGCCTCTGTATCGATAATAATGTTTCTTTCAATAAAAAATTGCAAAAAAATATTTAATGTACCGATTCGGCTTGGTTACAATTTTATTATAATTATCATATTAACTGGTGGTTAGTTCAACAGATGCACAGACTTGATAATGGAAACGCAGTCAGCTGAAACAGTTAGCAAGTAATAAGCAAGATCTTATGATGTATCAACACGGTATACTTGAGATGACAATTGCAGCTTCCTTTGACGCGGCGCACCACCGATATAGGTTAGTGAAGTGAGTTTGATTGGATGAAAAATGATTGTGAACTGCATGTTATCTAATAGGTACACTGAACTTGCGTGAAATTCTAACGGTTATTTCGTAGCTAGAGACAAAAATGTACACTATCTACACTAATATATATATATATATATATATATATATATATATATATATATATATATATATATATATATATATATATTATAAAGAGTAAATATTTGCATTTTTGTATGTTTGTAACAAATAAAATCAAAAACTATTGGACCAATTTAGATGAAATTTGGTAAGAAGATAGTTTGAAACTCTGAGAAGGTCATAGAATATTTTTTATACCAGAAATCATCCCTTAAAGGAATGAAAATGGGGATGAAAGTTTGTATGGGGATTCAACCTAGAGACGAACCCGAGCGAAGCCAGAATGAGTCGCTAGTGTACAATAAACTAATTTGTAATAAGATAATGGAATTAAAATTAAACCTATTTCTAATTATTGTCGTATCGATTTAAAACTTTGTAAGTATATGAAATACGAAATCCATACTAATATTATAAATGTAAAAGTTTGTGAGGATGGATGGATAGATGTTTATTACTTTTTCATGCCAGAACGGCTGAACGGATTTGGATGAGGCACAGAGATATTATAGTCTGGAATAGCATATAGGTTACTTTTTATCCTGGAAAAATGTACGGTTTCCGTGGGATAGATTTGTTTCGGTCTAGGGACAAACTGGAAGCGAAGCGAAGCAGGGTGAGTCGCTAGTTACGAATAATTTGATGTCATCGAGCTGACCAGATGATGGAACCAACTATCCACAGTGGAACTTTTTCTATAACTATTTGTAAAATTTTCGGGTTTAAGTTAATTTATTTATTTTTGACATACTTGCAATGTATACATACTACATTTAGTTCACTCAATAACTAAATTTAGCCCGACCCGGGATTCGAACCCAAGACCTGTGAATTTGCAGCCGTACAGGCTACAACACCGAGGCAGTTACGTACTCATAACTCACATACATACATATATGTACGTAGGTAGGTATGTATATTGTATACACTTCCTTCAATATCTCGTGCCGCTTGTGTTTCACAGAAAGCACACGCTGTTGTAAATAAGGCAGATTGCAAACGATACAAAAAATATTTTTAGAATATATTTAATAGTTAATTTTTCTAATGAAATTGTTATTATAAAAACATAAATTACATCGAAATGACTTTGTTTATTTTTTTTATGTTATGTAAAGGCAAATATAAATACGATTCAAAAAAAGGTATGAACTTTTTTTGAATTGATATTTATTTTTGTCTAATGGTTTTTAATTTATCTAAACATGAAATTGGACATAAAATTAATTGAATTATAAGTTAGCGCCACGTTTAAGGTACATAAGCTGCCTTAGAAAACATTTGGGTAATAATACATTATAAACATAAAAGAACAATATTAAAAACTTTGTAACATAAATCTAACAATTAATTATTTATGAATAAACATTTCTGGTTTACGAATACAAAAAAATCTACGAAAACTATCCAGTGATGCACCACAACGTACGTATTTCGCGCCTCCTCAGGCAAAAGTAAAGTCAACTTGACAAAGACATTTGACAGCTTGATGTAATTACAGATTATCAAATGTCAAAATAGTGAATTTGTCCTTGAAATATTATATTGTGAAATTGTTCTTTAGTTAGTACACCACCTTATTCTATAACTTTCTAAGTGTATTTAGTACTGACATCTAGCTATTTATGCATAAGAGCATAATACTTAACAATGTCGTTTTAATTTATATCGGTACCGTGACAATATAGTTGTTTCGATACTTATCTAGCAAATATATAATAATATACATACAAAACATTCGATAAGTAGGTTTCGCTTAAAGACTGTTTTATAATGCAGTATTCATATGATAAAATCCAATGGTTTTTGTATTACCTATACATAATTATAGTTGAGTCATACAAATATAATGAATATTGAATGATTCTATTAAATAATTATTTTTAATAATAAAAAATAATAATTATTTTTTACATTTATGAATATTTTTCAGGCTTTTAACTAAAGTTTTTCATAGATAAAAAATTATAAAGTATAAAAAAAAAGACCTTAATTTCATGTCAAATTATAAAGTTATTGAGTATAACTCCTTACTATTCTGTTATCGGTCATCTTAAACTAGTGATAACTAAATATACTTTCCGTATTGTAATAATGTTGTATAACTGGACTGTGCCTTACAATTTCGGTTGTGAATTGTAAAATCTACACTGTATATACTATATATGCACTAAAGATATATTGTAAGCAGTTATTGATAATTATCACAACCCAATATGATCATAGATTTCTCAAAAGAGAAGATTAAGGCCTAGGTAGAGAATCTATAATATTTAACGTTTGCGAAAAATCAGTAATTTAGTTAAAAATGAAGTTAGTTGCGGTTAATAATATTAGTACTAACCAAAATTATTAATGAGCATCAGGAAAGAGATAAATCTAAGAAACGAGTTGGAAAATGATTTTAAACATGATCAGGTAATTCAAATTGAATTTAACTTTTAGATAATTGCACATTGCAATAGACAAAACCATAGATAAATAGACCCTGGATAATAAATAGACCCTGGTAAATTAAGATTGGATATCTCAATAATGGACCTCAGTCACGAAAAACGTGAGTCGTGTATATCAAAATAAGAACACATCGAATTGTCTCCTTATCTCCCGTTGCTGGTATAGATAATAAAACATGTCTTACGAAAATAAATACACTTAAGCACAATCACATATAAATCAAACAAAAATTTCACTTCAAGATGAGTTGTCATAGTACACGCAAAGTAGTGCAAATTTGAATTTCGTTTCGCATAATATTTTAATTTTATGTTATTTTCCTAATTATTATTAATTATTAAAAAATATTTAAAAAAAAATTAGTTTGTGATAAGCTTTATCTATGGATATCTTCAAACAAGAGAGAATAAACAGATTCGTCGAATAGCTTAATTGTTGTACGGTACAGATGTGGCGCGTCGTGCTCTTACTGGCTTTGAGCGGTGAGCTCTAATTACTTTTGCATATAATTAGCAAAAACTATTTGTTTATATGTTAACAATAACTTATTTCATACTATCTTTCTAAAGTTTTCTAAAAATTAAAAATCAATTAAGTTACCTAAGTTTTTATATAATATGTACTAGCGAGTCACCCTCGCTCTGCTCCAGTTCGTCTTTAATTACGTTTTAATATTTAGTATATGTATACTCACTCACTTCACTTACTTTCTCAGAGATGAGATATTTTCCCGCAGTAAAAAGTATCCTGTATGTTGACCCGGATAACCAGCTATCATCCTACCAAATTTTATCAAAATCTGTTCAGTGGTTTTCTCATCGTGATGCGGTCACAGACAGACAGACCAAAAATTCCAAAAGCTACAGATTCGGCCTCTGTATTTCAATAAGATTTTCCAAAAAATATTTAATGTATAGATTCGGCTTAGTTACAATTTTATTATATGTATAGATATCTCACTGTGCATGCATATTAACAAGCCTACATATAACGTAACTTGTTTGCCCGTTAAACATGTCACGTTATGTGTCAACTAATATAGTCTGAAGTAATTACGTGCAAACTAATTAGTATCTGCCGCTTCTCAGTAGTACGTGACATTGTCTGAAATAGTGAAAATCACAAAATATAAATGTATATATATATATATCTAGAAGCTAGCAATACAGTGACTTTTTGCAAATCAAAATCGATATTAATATTATATTAAAAATGTGTAACAGTATGATCGTTTTTGACTATAAAGGTAGACCAAAATAATTTTTTCTTAATTTTATTATAGAACCATAACCACCCTTAAGGAATCCTAGAAAATCATGGGTGTTGTAGTTTAAGTGCAAGCGATCCTGCAACGCCCCATTGCACTGAGGCGTCGGGTTCCGCTTTGGGTTTTAGTGAGTAGGAGTCACACAGTACCCTGCCCGTTGACAGCCGGTAGGATCCCCACGATGGATTTCTCCAGCGAAAATACAAATAACCTATGTATTGAAAACTTGGGGGTTAGCAGTAAATAATGAAGATATCAAGAAACATAATACATCTAATAAGTATTATAAAGAGGAACATTTTTTGTTTCTTTGTTTGTTTGTATCGAACAAGCTCTGAAACTACTGAACCGATTTAGATGAAATTTGGTAAGAAGGTAGTTTGAGCTTTGGATGGATATAGGATAGTTTGTATCTAGGATGATTTCCTAGATATCCCTTTAAGGGGATGGAAATGGAGGTAAAATTGTGCATGTGGAAGCAACCTAGGGACGAACCCGAGCAAAGCAAGGGTGAGTCGTTAGTATACAAATATAAAAAAAAGAATTTCAGTTTCACTTTTACATAATTGATAACCTCCTTTATAAAAGTCGGTCAGCAAAAGAAATATGTAGAGATCGTAGCGCTGGACTTTCGCATATGTGTTTTTAGTATTAATTATAATTAAAACATATAGTGGTTTACTAGAATTATTCTATCAAAATCTACATACGCACATACATATATTCAAAGGCCAGACCATAATTTTAGTTTACAGATAATTAAGTTTGCAGTACGCAATTGATAGCCTAAACGAAATTTAGCTCTTACGCTACTATATAAATTCTAACAATAATGTATCTATCGGAGATAATTTATATGGGTATGAGAAAAGACAATAACCGTATTCTACTGTTATCAAAGATATATATATATATATATATATATATATATATATATATATATATATATATATATAAGGTTTTCAAATATCTTTGTATGGAAACATCTGTACCAGTATATATTATATTGTGTAATCTGTGGTTGAAGTGTCGTTTAAGATAAGTTGGTGAAAATGGTCATCAGTGTAGCAGATTTAATAGACAAAGTTTGATCTAACCGGTCTTTGTGCTTTCATATCAGGGATTTTAATAGATATAGTGAGATTGTATTTTCTCGTATCTATCGTACTAGTAAATTAATTTTGTAAAAGAAAAATTATGTCTCAAAAGTTAAAGGAATTAATATAATATATGTAAATTTTTTTTTTGTAGCAATATCCATATTGTGCCAATTTTTCGATTGCCACGATGATCCCAGCTTCGATCCAGAAGAAGGAACTCTCACAGACCTACAGTTTACGTGGTTGGGTGCATTACAATACATACACGGTATGAAAATATCGATATTAACAATAATAATAAAATAATTATGGAAAATATGTTTTATTTATCTATACATATAATCAAATTGTAACTAAGCCCAATCTATAGTCGTTTGGCTCAGTTTGTAGTGACTCTTCTTGCTGCGCCAGCGGTCGCGGGTTCGAGTCCCGCTGGAGTTATCATTCATTTGTGTGATGAGCATGAATGTTTGTACTCCAGTCATGGGTGTTTCTATTTATGATATGTATGTATTTAAAGTTATATATGTGTAGTTTATCAACTATCTGGTATCCATAATACAAGCCTCGTAGCTTACCATGGAACTAGGTGGTGTTGTGTGTTAATGTCCTGGAAAAAAAATAGTTTTTAGAAATTCTGTCTGTCTGTCTGCCTATGACCGCATTACTGCGGAAAAAATATCTCATCTCTGAGAAATTTATACTAAACATTTAAACGAAACTAGGTACGAACTCGAGCGGGGCGGGGGTGATTCGCTAGTATAATAATATATTTATGCATACAAACTTTTACATTACGTTTAATAGACATTTATATTCGTTTATTTGTTTTTATTTAGTGAAGAACGGTACACCGCACTACTTCAGGGTACCGCGAGTAGTGCTCATCAGTCGACAATTCGCTCTTTCTACTGCGATAGATGCCGCTCATATACCAGAGGGATACGCTTTGTTAGTATTATTTGTTTATTATACTTTATTGTAGGTCCGACAGTATAGTAAAGTCCTCCCGACCAATTTTGGGCCAAGACGGCCAATCTCACTGGACTAGCTAACTGCAGGAGATATTATAGTAAACAAGTATGAGTGTAAACATATTAAGTGTACTCTCTATTCCTGTCACTCTCATGCTCCGGTGGGATTACCACTCGACACGACCGGTGAGAGATCTGGTGTAATACCGACGGATTTAGAGCTAATAATTTTTTCTTGAAAAACCTAATGTTAAACTTAACGTGAGCGGGGACACGAACCCAGGACTTCCAGAGCTGTATCTATGTATGGTAGCTTCTAGATCGACAGAACGAGACAGTTAAGTTCAATCATATCAAATAAGAAATTTGATTTGTGACATACCGCAATAACTTAATTTTACTGTATTTGGATTGATAAAGTGATTGATAGAGATTTCAAGAAGGCATAAATAATAAATATATATATTTTTAAAGATTTTCTTACATACGGTTGGGTAAGCTGTTGTCATGATAATGAAATAAAAAATGGGAAAGTTACAGCTTTGAGCACATAAACTGTGGTGTTTTTTTATTTAGAGGTAACATTGTGTTTGGTGATTACGAAAGAGATGAAGAAGAATGTAAACTTACGATACGAGAGATAGCCGACGGCTACGAGTGCGAGCCGGCGGTCCTTCTCATGCCGATAGCTGACGTGTTACTTCACCCTGAGTTTAAGCACTTTGGTGTTAAGAGTAGTATAGCTTTACTGAAACTAATTACACCTGTAAAATCGAGTGAGTATATATAATTTAATATGTTTTTTATAGTAATCTCATGGGATTCATTAGTTGTATTTGGGTCGCATAATTTTTTTTTTTAAATTCGGATAAATTCGTTGTGATCTTTGGTTACGTTTGTGTTTTTCTACCATACAATCATTATACCTACCTAATTCTCGTTGAAATAAAGGCTGTATAATTAATAGTGTTGTTAAACCTCCTCAGTTAAAAAGCATTGTAATATTAAAGAATTAAACAGAAGAATAAACAGTAAAAAATTGGTCTGCAGTAGGCTTCTATATTTTAAATATTCTTCAAATTTGTAGGATGATGAAATTTTTTGTTTTGTATCGTCTATTACTAATTGTTAGTCTTTATACTTGTATTCAACCCTTTTTAACGCCCCATTGCTGGGGGTAGGCCTCGCTTCAGTATGAGGGGAATCAGGCCATAGTCCACCACGCTGGCCAAGTGCGGATTGGCGGACTTCACACGTCTTTTGAAAACTTGCTAGGTTCTCTCAGACATGCAAGTTTCCCCACGATGTTTTCCTTCACCGTTAAGACAAGTGGTAATTATGTTGGAAAAGATTCGCACATCAAAATACCAGAGGTGCAAGACCCGGGATTTGAACTCGCTTCACTCGGTTTCCCAAGCGAGCGCGTTACCACTGGGCTACCACTGTCTACTGCCTGTCGTTATACTTAGTCATTTTTAATTGTTTAAGGATACATGGTGCCAGCTTGTCTGCCGTTCAAAAACTTTTTAATTGGAAAAACTGGCAAAATGACGACTGAAAAAATTTATCACCTTGACTTTGTGAGCGGTTGGTATAAGTTTTATTTTCTTGAGTATTAAATTTAATGTATTTGATCTAATATCAAGCGAGATGGGTAAAAATTCAAATAAAGTATTTATTATATGTATATTTTGATACATGAACACTTTTGTAAGTAAAATTCCGATGTGCGAGTGTTTGTAATTTGTCTACTCCGAAACGGCTTGACCGATTTTGATGAATTTCTTTCTATACTTATATGGGATCACCTATATGATTCTTAGCTACGGTTAGAACCATCAGGCGGCTCTATTGTCGAATCATTTGGCTGGAAATGTCTACCTACCGCGTCCATATCCGATATTACAATTTCTTTTATAGCCTAGTTTTGTACTTTTAAATAAGTTTCATTGTATTTTATAGATGTTCCTAGAGATTTCATAGATGAAGAGAAAGAAGTAACTAGAGTTAACATACTGCCGCGGGAACTTTGCTACTTGTATGACAATCCGGAACCTTTTGTAAGTATTGCTAGTTGTTGACGCAGCGCACTTGGTACATGCGTCGTTATAGATTTTTTTATAACAAGATTAAAATCTTATACATATCGCCATTTCCAATTTTATACAAAGTGACAACGCAAGAAGTAAAAAAAACTAAATCACTAAGTTGGTTTGTTTGTTCACAAAACAAAATCTAAATTCTACCAAAATATTTGGACTTTAACATATTATTTAGGATCTTTAGCATCATCAGAAAAAGAAGTAAATCATCTTTTAATACGAACATATTAAATATTTATGCATTAGTTTTAATTTACAATATTATATTCTGTATTTTTTATATCAATCAAATTATCTTTGATCGAAACTTTAAATATTTAAAGTAACCCTATGCTAGATTTGACACTTAATCATGGTAATTTACTGTCACTCCTGTGTCACTAATGTTCAGAGCACATATTTTGGTGGTAATAGTTTAGGAATTTTAGTGAACATTCCATCTCAACATATATATATATATGTTGAGATGGAATATGTTGAAATGGATATATATATATATATATATATATATATATATATATATATATATATATATATATATATACTACTAAAATGGGGGAACCCCCGTTTCAAAGTCAATTAAAAATATGATTTACAAAACTTTCTTTATTAAATATTCTTTTATTTTTCAGCTTTCGAAAATATTTGTTGTACTCTCCAAACTCCTATTGTTATGATATATGTAATTAGGAGTTTATATTTTAGAATACATCTGAAATTAGTGATCGTATCGCGTGTACGACGGGGTGTGGGTTCCATTCCGGCTCGCCCAGTTTTGTACATGAGCACACCGGCCACTGGTCTATCATATCTTTGGCTCAGGGTGCGTATAATTTTATTGTGTATTATATGGTGAGTAAAGCCATAACCGCCCAAGTGTCGTGATATACCCTGCTCTTGATACGCCCTTGCCCCTTAAGATTTCGATAGCTCAGCATCAAAGGAAGTTACTTAAGAAACCAAGTGAAGAGGACTCGAACCCTGGGTCATGCACCTCTTATATTTTCATGTGATGATTTTCAAAATGATTACTACTCACTTTATGGCGATGTGAATCATTGTGAGGAAGAATGCTAGGGGAAAAATAACTGGATTTCGAAAGAGTTATGAATCTGCCAATCTGCATTTGTCCGGCATGGTAGACTACGACCTTATCCCCCTAGTATTCTCTAATTTGGTCCCCCAGCAGCAGGATGAAAACTCTACTAACACTTCTCATTTATTCGATTTGGTTAATATAAATCGTATATTAAAAATCCCGTTTTGCATATTTTTTGTATAGCTGGGTTAAGCTGCTTAAGAGTTAAGAGTAGCCCGTGTTTACTTCCTAGAGAAATAGTAAAAAAGATTGAGAGATTTTGGTTTAAAATACACAGGGGGTTCCCCGTGCCGGGACCCGCTGCGCATGCGCCGCCCGCCGGCACCGCCTCGTCACATACTCTTGTATCCATATGTCGCTTGGATAACTGCTGCTATCACCGGAAAGGCTGTTGGTGCTTTCGCAAAAGATGATCCTTTTGGTAAGGTTTTTCGTGTTATTAGTGGCTTATTCTCACTTCGCTCGAATACTCCGTAAAATGCTTTTTCTATTTATAATATTATGTATATACCTGTTCGGCTGCAGATTCAGAGGTCCTGAATTCGAGTCCTGGGGTCGGGTTAAATTTAATTGCTGTTTTTTGTTAAAATTTTCTCAGTAGTAGCTCGGAGTTGGGAAGTTGGCGGTGTTACTGTTGGCGTTTGGTCCTCTCACCGGTCGAGTATATCGTATCGTTCCATCGGACTTTGAGAGTGACAGGAATAGAGAGTGCAATTGTGTATAGAGAGTGTATTGCGAAAATATAAATATCATTTACTGCAAAAGGTGCAAAAAGGTGGTGCTACCTGTCTATGATATAATGAATACCGAAACTTAATAATAGAAGCCTTAATTTAATATAATTATAGCCTATATATTAGTTTAAAGGTATTTTTTGTCTTACGCATTATAGTAAAAAAAATCATTTTAAGTAATTATTTTTACCTTCTACTATTACATACATATATAACTATACATGTATATAGTATATACATTATACATATTTAAGTGATAAATGTTGTGTTTACCTGTAAGCGACTTTACATTTTAGATTTGTATTACTTTATGTTATTTATTAAATGAAAAAAAATAAACAAAAAAAATACAATTAGCACTTAAGATAATACTTAAACAAAGCGAGGTAAGTTGCTAGTCTATACATCTGTACAGATAAATAAACTTGAAGTGTCTGTTTGTAATGTCAAAATAAAAACGTTTTACCAAATGCATATGAAATAATATACGGTATTTATCAGAATAACACTTTTTTTCATTTTTGTCTGTCTGTTTGTTCTGGATAATCTCTGAAACGGCTGGACTGATTTTGACAGGACTTACACTGGAAGATAGCTCATGTTATAGGGAGTAACATAGGATACTTTTATTTTAGAAAAAGAATAAGGGTTTTGCTCAAAAAAATTAAAAAAAATATCACACCGAGCATGTCTTAGGGTACGTGATGCCTCGCGCCTCGCTGTACGACGTGCTTGGCCACCGCTGGGTGGGGCACTGGTGGGAGGGCGGCCTGCGGTGCTCCGACCGCGGGGAGGCTGCGGACGATATGTTCCGCTTCTATCATGAGGTCTTCCAGGTCAAGCCGGTCACTTTTACCACTTTGACTTATTATTTGGAGGTGAGTTGTTATTTAGTTGTTTCAGATATACATAGAGACATATAAAAAGAATACCCCCAGTGAGACTCGAACCCGCGACCGCTGGCACAGCAAGTAGGGTCACTATAAACTGAACCATACATGTGGTCAAAATGCAACGAACTCCGTATACCTCTTTAATGTCTAATATTTATACAAGTATATGGCACTCGGTTTCCCAAACGGTGGAGTAACTTCAAAGAGTAAAATTATTTGATTATTTTAGTTCCTATTCTTATATCATACCTAGATATTCATGACCGTGGCTTGATGGTCTGGTATCTATCCGTCGGGAGTTTGCAAGGTCGAACTCTAGTCCCTCCATATTTTCATTATAATAAATTATATCATCGTCTTTCTTGGACACTAAAGATGATTTGGTATTTTACCTGCGACCTTTTTTACCTTGGATCCCAAGGTTTGATTTCACAAATGGATCCGGTAGGTGACGCTGCAGTCGGTGTGCCACTATATTTTCCTAAAAAACTCCATTTTCCGAGCAATAAATAAATTTAAATTGTTGATTAAATAAAATAAAAGTCGATGTGTGTATGTATGTTTCTATGGACTGCAAAACAGCTGGAGAGATTTTGATGAAATTTTTAGGTAATCTTCAGGTTAGCCCAGCGGGTGATCCTGTGAATTTTGTTAGCGATCAGAAGTTTAGACGCGGGCGAAGCCGCGGGTATCTACTGCTAGTAATTAAATATATTTATAAATTTCTTCATTATAAATAAATTCTAATATAAATATCTTCATTATCAGATAAACGCGGCACACGACACACTCATCATCTGCGTCAAAGTAGGAATGCCCTACCAATTAGGACAGCCTAAAGTTTGGCAACTCGATACTCCTGAAGTTAAGGTATGAGACGATCATTATGTAGACATATATAGCAATATTATAGTAAATAGCTATTCTACCTTATATATTTATAGCAATATATGTATATATACCTACTTATAATCATTTTTAAAACTAGATGGATATTCGGCCTCCACGCTTAATATGATTTTGGTTAAACATATATTATTCCGTGTAACGTGATTGGTCTTTTTTCGTCAAGCTCAAATAGCTCTAATAGGGCATTAATGCCTGATTTCACCAACAACCCATAAGATACCACTTACGTATGGGATCACTAGCTTAAAAGTCCCCTAAACTAGCCCTTAAATTAAATTTCGTTTTACGATCGTCTTTAAGCCCCATATTTCGAACATCTAAATTTAGGGGGCTCTTTAATATTTAGGTGACCCCTAACTGTCGGTGAAACAGAAACTGTCCCCTAACAGCCCCCTAACCATGCTTAGGGGATCCCTCAAACTTAAGTGACGTTGGTGAAATCGGGCATAATTCTTTTATTTTAACACCTTAAGGGACTAGAGATGTTAAAACAAAAGGGTCGTTAAAGCCCACAATAGGTGGCGATATCGCATAACTTACGCCTAAAAGAGTTATGTAGTGCCTTGCTTTGTCTTAGCATGAATAGTAGGACTCGACGGGTAAGTATTACCACAGCATAAAACTCCATACAGTAAACGAACACCCATTGGTTTTAACAAATGTGGTTGTCAGTACCAATTTTCATGGCGAACGGTTTTGAATTTAAAGCACTGAGTGCCAACTCACGGCAAGTTACTATGTACTTGTATACTTGTCAACCCTAACGCCATTTTAGCACTATCAAATAAATATGTATAATAGTCGGGTATATACATAATATGTACTCGTAGGTATACAGAATAAAGTGGGCAATACTCTCATAAAGTTGAACACTCTCTAGAAAGAGAGAAAGCGAATATGCGTACAATAGTCTTTTATTTCAATTTGATTTTATAAATGGAATGTAAAAAAATATAACAAAGTGTGATAAAAAAGATGGTTAGAAATATCTATCTTCATTAATCGTATTTCAATGAAAGCAGAAGACTTCCGGCCGCACATTCGTTTTGTCTGTCGCGCTTTTCCGCCATTTTTAACTGATGGCTGGTAAAGAAACACTCAGTCCACTCTCTATGTCTATAGGTGCACCTCACCCAAGTCTCACCTCACACACCCATTGTCCTGTCTAAGCACCTTTGTTAGACGTCTGTATAGATGAGTAGACTATGGTAACCGTCCCATGAAGTACCGACAAGCAGTAAGTTGTTGAACAAACTACTTGCAACGTTTTAGTCTACAATAATAAAAGAAGAATCTAGAACCTTCTTCACAACTTAGATTAGGTCTAAGATTAAGTCAAAATAAATGTTGTACTAAATAAAAATAATGCTTGTAAAAAATAACTTTGTCATGTAGTGAAAGGATCTCCAATTGTTTCTCTGGAAAGAATTTTGTGAAAAGAAATAATAAAAATATATTTTTCTTTTCATATTAAATAAATATGCGTATTTTATGAAGATCGTTGTAAGGGGTTATTGAAATTGGATTATTATGTTTACTCAATATATCAATAATAATATGTTGTTGGGACATTAACACACAGCACCATCTAGTTCTATGGTAAGCTACGGGGCTTGTGTTATGGATACCAGATAGTTGATACACTACTCATATATAACTTTTAAATAGATACATATTATAAATATAAATTCCCATGACTGGAGTACAAACATTCATGCTTATCACACAAATGAATGCCCCCAGCGGGACTCGAACCCGCGACCGCTGGACAGCAAGTAGGGTCACTACAAACTGAGCCAAACGTGTCGTCAAAATATAAATATCATTTACTGAAGATTGTTTATAAGATGTTATATTTTTCCATCATGTGACTTTATGGTAAATTTTAATGGTTTTTTTATCGAATAAGTATTACTCTGAATAAAACATACTTATGCTAAGTTTGGTTTCAATTGTTTTAGTAGATTGAAAGACACAGCTTGAGCTCTCTTTTATCTGCACTGAATAAAAAAATCGGATATTGATTTAATTAGAGGTTTTGGACTAAAAAGAAGTTGAAATGTGAATGAATTGACAAGTAGCAGGCATTGTTTTAAAAGCCTCTCATCTTTTTGTACCTCCAATGACTTTTTTTATATTATGATATGATATTCTAGAAAAAGTCTTTTGTAAGACTTTTTGACAACACATTTGGCTCAGTTTGTAGTGACCCTACTTGCTGTGCCAGCGGTCGTGGGTTCGAGTCCCGCTGGGGGCATTCATTTGTGTGATGAGCACGAATGTTTGACCTCTAGTCATGGGTGTTTATATTTATAAGATGTATACATTTGAACTTATATATTATGTGTAGTGTATCAACTATCCGGTATCCATAACACAAGCCTCGTAGCTTATCATAGAACTAGATGGTGCTGTGTGTTAATGTTCCAACAAATTGTTATTATTACTATGAAAAGTTGACTATGGACGCTAACTAAAACCTTCTAATAATATATATTATTTTAGGTAATTGTACCAGTAGTTACATTCACTAATCTCTACAAATTTCAAGTAGAGGCTTGGGCGTACAATTCGACTGAGTCGGAAACCTCTGAGCCGTCTTCCTCGTCTATAGAAAGCGAATCTGAGGAAAAGCCTTCAACACTAACGCAATAGGAACAAATGATTATTTAATAAAGTTTATTTAATAAATAATTTTATTTATTTAAAAAATCATCAATCTATAAAATGAAATTTTGGTATGTATATATATATATATATATATATATATATATATATATATATATGGTCTTCACTTCTACACTAATATTATAAAGAGGAAAGATTTGTATTATGTATGTCAAAAACTACTAGACCGATTTAGATGACATTTGGTAAGAAGATAGATTGAGACTGGGAAGAATTTTTATTCCGGAAATCATCCCTTAAAAGGGTTAAAATGGGAATGAAAGTTTGTATGGGGAATCTACCACATATAATATAATTAGTACCTACATAATATAATAAAATTCTGAGTCGAATTAGTAGGTACATTTTTGGAAAATCAAAATTTGGAATATTTTTTGGAAAATCTTGTTGAAATAATCATTATTATCCATACAGAGGCCGAATTCATAGTTTTTAGAATTTTTGTCTGTCTGTCTGGCAATGCATTACGAGAAAACCACTGGATAGATTTTGATGAAATTTGGTATGATGATAGCTGGTTCATATCTTTGAGAAATCTATATTAAACTGTTATTAGGGACGAATCCGAGCGGAGCGATGGTGAGTCGCTATTCTATATATACTTTGTTATGACGTCTAAATGGTTTATATTCCTACCCATAGCTAGGGATCTACCTTCGCTTCAATCGGGTGCTAGGTCACCTAACATACCACCATGTCCTATTCCAGGTCTAAGTCTATAGATAGACTAGCACTAAATTTCATCCAAATCCGTTCAGCAGTTTCAGCGTGAAAGAGTAACAAACATACACACATACAAATTTTCGTATTTATAATAGTATCCCGAATCCCGATTGCTCCGATATTTATTGAATATGTGTTCTACATTTTAATGGAATCTTAGTAGCGAAGCTCTACTATAATGTAACATACATACATACATCTTTCAAATCCTACTTCAGATTATGCCAGAATTTGTTTAGTATGCTATGAGGAAACACAATAAAAGCAAACGAAAATAGATAGCTTTTGAAATGAGATGATTTAATGTAGTAGATAGATATAGTATAAATATCAAAAAAATTGGTTGCGAAATGCAAACATAATTTTTTTAAACCTAACTGGTAATTCCAGGGCTGAGCGATCTCTTGAAGAGAGGTTATGAAAGAGAAAACAGATAAACTAGTTAAGTGCGACATAAAATTATGCGAGGAAGAGTATTATTGTACCTATTAATTATACAAAATTTTGTTCTAAAAAACATATATTGAATGAAGCTTTTGGTTTTATTTTCAATTTTATTTAAATATAGCGCGATTATTATGTATTTGTTATGTTAATTAAATTATTTAATACTAGCGGCTTCCCTCGCGCTTAAACTACAAAAATATCTCTAATAAAAACTTTTTAACAAAAAAATAAAAACCGACTTCAAACAAAAGCACTAAAAAGTAAAAAATAACTGATTGGTAGTTTTCATTTACTATACATACCTAATCAAATATTTTCGAAGTCGGTGTGCTTTGGCTAAGTAATTAAAGCAAGCAAGCATCAAAGTTTTTTTGTGATGCGGTAACAGACAGACAGACATACAAAATTCTAAAAACTATAAATTCGGCCTCTGTATCGATAATAATGTTTATTTCAATAAGATTTTCCAAAAAATATCTAATGTACAGATTCGGCTTGGTTACAATTTTATAATATGTATAGATTTCTTGTTCAATAAGGATAATAAATAATGTTAGTAATCCTTTTTAACAACAATATAAATAAAGACGTTAATACCAATCACGATGGCTTCGAGATGTATTATTGTATCGATTAATCTGCGGGGCGTGTCTACTAAATCGCAATGTTAACTCGCTCGATGCGCTGTAGAGTCAGCATCTAAATTTACAACGAAAGAGTATATAATTTTTATCAGTTATTCAACAACTCAAAACAACTCAGTTTTAACTCAGACAACTTTTTTCTCTTGTGTTAGTCAAAAGATTTTTCTTCTTTAATAGCTACCTACCTACCTATCTAGCTTGCTTCCCTACAAACTTTCATCCCCTTTCTCAACTTCTTAAGTAATGATTTTCGGGATAAAAACTGTTTCACTCACTCACTTTTCATATCATGAGATTTAAAAAAAACTTATTTTAGTTTTTTATTCTTTTAATTTTCTTCTATACAAAGTTTGTCCTGCCAATAAAAAACACAAAAAAAAGAATTATCCAATTTGGAGCAGTCGATCAGAAGTTATGCGCGTACATACATACATATCGATGATTAATTTTTATTTATATAAATATAGATATAAATTAAAGAGCTTTAGTGTTATTAGTAAAAAAAAAACGGTCGAATTTCGACCATTGGGCGAACACTACTTTGTTAAAATATTCTACCAGTTGATTATAATTGTATTAATTTTACAAGACTTTGTTCTGCAAAACATATTATATATATATATATATATATATATATATATATATAATGAAGCTTTTTAATTTTATCTCGAATTTTATTTAAATAGTAACTGAACCCGCGGCTTCACTCGCGCTAAAGCTACAAAAAACTCTAAAAAGGTTGGTTTTACACAAACATTCACGAACGCGAAATTTCAATTTTCTTCAAGGGTTCTGGCCTGTGCGTTGATACATCAGTCAATCACTTTTGCTTTTTATGTACGAGTATAATATAAGTATACACACAGATATAGATAGATAGATGGATAGATAGATAGATAGATAGATAGATAGATAGATGGATTAATAGATGGATAGATGGATAGATAGATAGATGGATGGATGGACGGACGGACGGACGGATGGATGGATAGATAGATAGAAGATAGGTGGATGGATGGATAGATAGATAGATAGATAGCGCGATTTCTCAAAAACCAACGTTTTTTTCCAACAGTACTTATTATTTCATCTGCTATTCACAATAAGAAGAGGGCAGCAAATATAAAGTGTACGTTTCTAACATCAAATTAAGACGTAAAGTTGTTTTGATAAGCGGAATGATACAAATGTTGGCCTCGCGGCACTAACGAGAGCTGTAGCTGTGGGTACTGGCGCGTTGAAAATAATATACGCTGCTTGATTTTATTTATTTATTTATTTATGTACCAAAAAAATACATATAAAATAGAACCAGATACAATACAGATACCATGTAGGATGTTATACCATGAAGGATGACTTATCTCTTTAAGAGATCTGTACCAGAAACCCTCGAGAGTGAGAAAAAAAATATAATTATGAGGTGCGGTGTAGGTACAAACATCAATTATACTATATATATAAACATATACAAACATACATACATTGTAATAGTTATACGAAGAAATATAATCATTTCTCACTAATATATATAAGATATTAATCAACTATACAACTGTATCGGATTATTTGCAATTTTTAAATATTTTAAAATAAAATTATTTTTTCAGTTTTTTTCTCAGATTTATTTTGATTCTTTGTTCTCAACGTTTAGAATGCTGTACAGCAATCATGGTCACGGGAGAGGATATCCTTTTTTTTTAAATGTCAAATATTCGCGTAAATCTAAGCAAGTTTTTTTTTAAATATGCTAAAATATAAACTATAATGTCACAGTAGGAGTATATAATATGTGATTCGAAGTAAAGATTATCAGGATATCCATATAAACTTTTCTATATTTAGTCACTCCTGTGTTTAAAATTTGAATGTGATTTTATATCCAATGGATACTATGAATGGATAAGTATACTAACTTACAATAAATACGTCGGGATGTTCACACATAGCACAATCTAGTTCCATGGTAAGCTACGAGGCTTGTGTTATGGATACCAGATAGTTGATACACTACACATATATAAATTTAAATACATACATATTATAAATATAAACACCCATGACTGGAGTACAAACCTTCGTCATCACACAAATGAATGCCCCCAGCGGGACTCGAACCCGCGACCGCTGGCACAGAAAGTAGGGTCACTACAAACTGAGTCAAACGTGTCGTCAAAATAAAAAGAATTTTTTTTAGGCACAAAGCACCTGCCTGTACCCTTTCGTAAAGGAAATGCAAGTATCCCAATATAGCAAATTCATTTATCGCAGATGCATCTTACATATATTTGAGATGTTATATTCTATCAAACAAATAAAATCCTTAATAAGTAGCTATAAAGACTAAAATTACTTGAAATGTTTATGATTTATAAGAATTCAGATTGTTGCTAACCATAACGTATACCCTATAATGCGTGTTTATAGTATATAGGATTTTACGTTATATTTCAAAGGATGTAAGGGTTAAAATTGCTTGATACAATAAAATATTATTAAAATATTGCTTAGATCACTGTATATTAATGATATTTGTTTTTAATTATAAGCCATATGAACCTACATTTAAGAATTATAATTGCTCAAACGTTAGTAAAACAAGTTATTAAAATATTTTATATATATCTCGACGTCTTTCTGTTTACACTCGATGAGGTTTGTATTAACTTTAGAGATGGTACAAGAAGTTAGAATTTTAATCTGTGCTAATGTAAACATAACAATTTGTAGAATCATTTCTTATGGACTAAGATCCCGCTGCAAGATTGCTACGTTCATAGCGTATTTAATCGAAATCATTTTTTTATATACGATAATAAAAGGGACAATATGTTTTGACCGCGGTGCCTATTCAAATGTGCCCGCAGGCCCGCTAGTATGTTTAATTAACTAAATAATAGTTGACTTCTTGGAATAAAAACGATGCATTTGTTATTACAATGAATTATACTCCAATTCACAGAACTATACGTAGAGATCTTGAAAAATGATAGCTGCCGTTGCGCATTTGGCCGCAACCTCTTCGCAGCCAGATATAAGCGGGTCATATTTTGGTAATTTATAATAAAATTGTGGTATATCGCGAATTTATTTTGTTTTTGATTCCCGACGTTTCGAATGCTTTACCGTTAGTTTACTGCAATCAACCTG